CTCCAGACCAAATAACTGACCTACATAACCAAGTGGCTGTAGCTAGTTTGTCTTTCTATCCCTATGCTCAGGCCAAGGAAATAACAGCAGCAACCATTTACCACTGTTGTTTCTGGTGTTTTGGAAACATTACCTCCATTACTAAGAAGCTCACAATTCTGCAAGGTAGGTATTATTATCCTCATTCTGCACTTGAAGAAACTGAGGTTCAGTTAGGTTAAGCAACTTGGTCATGGTCACTGTGGTAGGCAGAATAATGGTCCCTCAAAGATGTGCACACCCTAATCCCCAGAACCTGTAAATATGTTTTCACATGGCAAAAGGGACCTTGCAGATGTGATTAGGGACCTTGAGATGGAGAAATTATTCTGGTTTATCTGAGTAGACCCAATGTAATCACATGGGTCATTATAAGAGGGAGGCAGAAGGGTCAGAGGCAATAGTAGAAAACGTAACAATGGAAACAAGAGGTTGGAGGGATATGAGGAAGGGGCATGAGCCAAGGAATGTAGGCAGCCTCTAGAAGCTGAAAAAGGCAAGGAACTGGATTCCTCTTAGAGCCTATAGAGGAATACAGCCTTGCTGACACCTCGATTTTAGCCCTGAGACCCATCTCGGACTTCTGACCACCACAACTGTAAGATAATAAATTTGTTTTGTTTTAAGACACTAAGTTTGTTGTCATTTGTTATAGCAGCAATAGGAAACTAATACACCCAGCTGGTAAGTGACAGGACTGGGATTTTGCAAATAGATCTGATGGGCTCCAAAATCAGTGCTCTTCCCATCACTATGGGGATGTGGTGTTTTTTAAAAAATGGTGGATACAAAAGTGGAAGGCAAAAAGCTGCAAGAGCTTAGGAGAGCTGATCCTGGGGTCTACTTGCCCCAAAATAACCTCTTCCACATGGCTTGATATTTTTCAATAGTTATAAAGTTATTTGGATTAAAAAAATACTCTTTTCAGGGACCCACCCAGTGGCATAGTGGTGAAGTTCGCGCACTCCGCTTCAGCAGCCTGGGGTTCGCAGGGTCAGATCCCGGGTGCGGATGGACGCACCACTCACCAAGCCGTGCTGTGGCGGCGTCTCACAAATAAAACAGTGGAATATGGGCACAGATGTTAGCTCAGGGACAATCTTCCTCAGCAAAAAGAGGAGGATTGGCAACAGATGTTAGCTCAGGGCTAATCTTCCTCATGAAAAAAAAAATACTCTTTTCAAATAATTAGAATTACTTCCGGCCAGATCTAAAGGTCATTGGCACTTTAGGATGGATTAAGTTAATCTCAGTTTTTCTCCTATTACTTGGTGATAATAACTGCAATAAAGAAATTAAAGTTTTGGGCCAGTCCCGTGGCTTAGCGGTTAAGTGCACGCGCTCCGCTGCTGGTGGCCCGGGTTCGGATCCCGGGCGCGCACCGACTCACTGCTTCTCTGGCCATGCTGAGGCCGTGTCCCACATACAGCAACTAGAAGGATGTGCAGCTATGATATACAACTATCTACTGGGTCTTTGGGGGAAAAAATAAATAAATAAAATTATAAAAAAAAAAAAAGAAATTGAAGTTTTGATTGCATGAGGTGAAGCAAGTGATGTTGAAGTAATGGCAACACTTTAGTTTACAGACAGGCCTGGGGGTGGGGGGCAGGGTGTTGACAATGAAAAGCTGAGGGCCACTCGAGGGTAATAGGTACATTATGCCTTAAAGACTACTCAGCCTATTTCAAACTTTTCCAGAGAGAGGGCCACTGTATGTAAGTTTTCAGATTTCTTAAATTGCATGAGATTCTATTTATACTAGCAACTTCACTTAAACCTCGTCCTCAAGAGCCTTGCCTTTCCTCCCTCACTTGTAATTCATTTCCACAACTAGTGGTCACATCCATGAAGAGGAAGCTGTTAAACAAGTAGGGCTGGCTGGCCCTAGTCAAATTTGTGAAAAAGGCAGCTCTACTTCTCTGGTCTCTATTTGAATTTCAGCAGATGACTTAACCTAGCGAGCGTTCCCTAACAGGAAGGTTTTCTGGTTTTTTATTTTGTTTTTGTCTGGAAGGTTCTGAAACCTCATCTGGGATGTTGCTATCACTGCACGTCCTTCTCGGAGTTTAGTCTAGACGCCAAGAGGAAAGGGAGGCTGGCCAGCTAAGTGGATGCCTCAGGGATTTTACTCTTATGTTTCCATTTCCCATCCTATCTCATCACCCAGAAAAATCCCAAGGATTTGTGGCGGTGGGGAGGTGAGGAGGATGAAAATTAGTTTTTCCTTACAAATAAGTTTAAAACCCTTTCCTTAACTCAAAGAAGTTTTTGGTATGGGAATGTATTTTGGGTGGGATCCTCGAACACACTGTATAGGGCTCCCCAAATGCAAGAAAAGCTGTTGTCTCCGTTTAGCTAACATTTGGTGTAGACAATCTATCAAGAATGTGTTAAGAGACTACAAAGGAAAGAAGGACAATTATATTCCTTTCTTTGTATCTCATCCTCACTAAATGATACAGCAGGTGGAGTGGAGTCTGAAGGAATACAGATTTCTTCCTTCCCACTCTTAGCAATTGCATGGTGCTGCCTCCAACCCTGCCCCATCGTTGATGAACGGTCAAAAAAACCCCTAAAAACACAGAGTAGTTTGGAACTGCTGGTAGAAGAGTTAGATGATTTAAGAAAAGAGACACTGACAAAAAACATTTTTTTTGCAATACTATAATTATAAAGTTGAAGGCACATCCTTGGCAGAAATATGATCAATTACATGCTTATGGAAAAACAAACCACTGAATATCTTGACTATAGTAGATGATTATTGCACAACATTGTCCACTGCTGTTTTGGGTACCAAACAATCAATGTTTAACAATGCTTAAACATTTCTTTAACTTAAAACATAAGGTTGAGACACCTGGTTTTGGCTACAAAAGGCATTTATTATCAATGCCATTACCGAAGCTCTTTTAATTGAAGAACAAGAATTCATGCTTTTGTCTTTATCTGGTTACTCATACCAGATAAACTTTCAGAGGGACTACAGAAAGTTAGTGTAAAAATAGCTAATAATTTGGCATGAATCTATATTTTTATATTTGATAAAACAATATTTTTTTTAAATATAGAAAAGAAATAAACAAATAAAAAATCCCAAGGGAATGATTCCAGGAATGTTTTCATTCTTATTAAAATAACCAGTAACCAGATGCCTCACCCAAAGAAAATAACAAAATAGAGTAAAATAAATATTAAGGAAAATAATTTTAAAGCAAGATCCACAAGTAATGGAAAAAAATTCTCTAAGAACATACATTCTTGATTTTAAGCTGTGTACATAAAAGATATGCACACAAATTTTTGGAAACATCTTGTCTATAGTACTATTTTAAGCATTCTGAACAAAGAATACATCTGAAAAAAGAATAACTTTTAAAAAGTTAAAGCACAATATAAAATTATTTGTTCACAAGGCATCAAATCTAACACTTTAAAATGTTGATACTAAACTGGGAAAAATAACATTTCTATTTTCACAACTAACAACCATACTCCTTTAGCCTACAACACTAAATACTCTAGTTGTGTTTTAACCTTTGAAGTTCAAAAGGCATCTTTGGATATTTAAGATAAGACGTGCCCCATAGTTGAGTCTGAGCCAGCACTGGATATCAAAACTTCCTTGTTATCTTCAGACTGAGAGCATGGTTGCTGAGTGAACACAGAAGAGTGATAAAGGAACAACAAATAAAGAACTTCAAATATCAAATTCAAATATAAATCCATTTTCCTACTATATGGTAATATGTGTGTGTACGTATATATGTGTATGTATATATGTATGCATATGAATAGACATACACACATTTATAAAATTTGTTCTCACTGATAACTAGTGACTTAAAGCTAGTTACTAACTGAAAGCAATGTTTTCCAAACATCACCTCTCTCTTTTGTGAATACAGTTGCTCTGCGAAGCTAACAGGAGTTCAGGATTACAAAAGAGACTTATGGTAGAGAATTCAAAGATGGCTGCAGATATTTAAACCAGGATTTTTTCTAAACAGTATGTTTTCTGTTCTGGTAGTAAGGGCTGAAATTATATCCTTGATTTTTCCCAGACTATAGGCTGCTGTTCTCACTGTCCTATGACATGTGGGTCCCATGGCATGTGGGGCCAAGAGGACGACTCAAACACATGCATAATAATAAAAGTAGTCATATTAGCTGTTTCTTCTAGAAGAAACAAGTTGGTATGATGGGACACTGGAATTTAAAATAAGAAACAAATATTAGAATTCCAAATAGAAGCATGGAAGATGGCATAGGCATTGGTCTAAAAAAGAGCCTGGACATACAAACTCATTCATATTTCATTAAAATGGGTTTGCCTTTCTAGATTAATAGCAGCTTCATCAAAAGTTTCAGTTCTCTCTTTTAGATGAGATAAAAATGAGATCTTTTCCACATCCGAAAAGACAACAAGGAATAACATTGTAAAGTTTTTTGTGTGTGTATGAAAGGATAAGAGAGAAAGTAAGTAGGAGAGGAAGAAACCCATCCCCCACCCCCACCTGATTTTAGAGTCTGCCCTATAAAAATGCTTTTTAATATTTATTACTGACTTCAAGGGGAGAAAAGAACTAACATTAACTGAGTACAAATCCTATGTGCTAGGCATTGTGCTAGCAGCTTTCCATATGGCAATGGGAACAAAATATTCAGGAATTTGTGAGTTCTCTTTACTTACATACTCTGTATATGAAATCCAGCTTGCAATTAAGAAGGAAATTTAAATAGTGATACAAATACCAGATCACTGACCAGTCTATTAACTCCCAGGCACTCACAGGGGAATTTCTAAATTTCTATAGCAATGAGAACAAGCCCCTGAATTTGCCAACCACACTAACTAGCAAGTGAAAATGTTTTAGACTAGAGAAAAGTACAAATTTGGCTAAAAGGTATCACAACCTAGGGAAATTCTCATTTCTATATTACAACTTGTATTTTTCGGTAAAAGCAGCTTTGTGTAATAGCATTATTTCAAAGTCATTTTGAGAGGTTATCTAAAACACAAAAAGATAATTAAAATCTACTAAATTATGTATACCAGCTAAGGTCTTGTATTCTCTCCAATAAAGGACAAATTTAGTGAATCTAGGTAATTTTATATGGCCCATATATGTTAAAGATAGCAGAGTTAACTTTTGAAAAAGTCAATTGCAGAAGAGGCTCAAAATCTTAAGTTTCTGGACTGAGGCCAATGGACAGACTACACTAAGAACAACTTATAGCTGAACTCAGCAGGAGTGAACTGAAAGCTTGCACAGAGCTACGGAGTCATTGAAGGAAGAATCTGATATATTTTTTACAACAATGGAAAGACGGGAAGCAGGGAATCCTATGGACTCTTTAAGGTCTTTTGAGCTACAAGATAAAAAAAGGGACAAGATATTGGAAAAGCTGTCAGTTATTTTTATCAATTAAAAACCACCTACGCCTAGCTCACTCAAAAGAAGATAACAAAGGAAAATATACTGGGGCATCTAAGAAACCAACTGCAAAGACAAAGACACAGGGATAATAAGGGAGGAAGAAAGCCCATAATAAATAAGGCACATCTATTTTTAAACAGTTTCTACTGTTTTCCTTCTAACACTAGATGCTTTATACAGTGCTTTGAAAGCCACTGCTCCCCAATGTGGCAGGGATGAGGGCTCAACAATCTCCTCAAGATCATGCTCCCAGAGCTTCAAATTTTTAATTATCTTTTTCTTGAGCTTTTTTTTTTTGTCAAATAAAAAATTACCTATCACTTCAGCAGTAATTCGGCAATCTTCAATTGTAGGGCTTGTAAACCTCACCAGTCTACTTTATCTGTTGCTAGAGAAAAAAAAATACTGGAAATTCATTTTAAATAAAGCTAGATTCAGAGCTGATGCCCTGAAAAAGATATTTTTGCCCTTAGACAAATGCAATTCAAATAGAATCCCTAATGTAAGAGCTTGAGACCAACATAACATTCTCCCGCAATATTTTGAAAAGCTAAGGTGACATCATGAATGCTGTATCAGCGCATGACAACACCAGCTAGTAGCACTCTTTGTGGCCTTTTACAATGCAGTGTCGTCATCTTCCCTGCAGTCTCCCACCAAGAGTGAGTGCTTGTCTGGTTCACTGGTACCAATGCTGTTTAAGGACCGTTTATCAGACAGCAGTGAGTTTATGGAGGCTCTGCTGTAATTAACAATCCGGTCCAGCAAACCCAGTTTAGGAGAATTTCTTGAGGTGTCATCTATTCCAACATGAACGCTGATTTCTGAAGGACTTTTCAGTCCTATCTGGCTTCGGGCACGCAGTTCGTAATTCTCATAAGTTGGTTTCCTGTAACTGGACACATGCAAAAGTACACTAGTTTGAAATAACCAAAGGTGAACTAGACGCTTATTACATTCAAAAATGAAAAAAGATCTGCCTGGTATGAAATGTACAAAGGTGGTCCTTGCTAGGAAAGTAGCTCAAAAGGAATTGTGTCGAGTCACATGATCAAAAATCCTACTTCTCAGAGCAAATGTACTAGATTTTACCCCACTCAGTATTTGTGGTTGCTATGTATAGACAGACTACAGGCATACCTCGTTTTATTGCACTTCGCTTTATTGCACTTTGTAGATAACTGTGTTTTTTAAAAATTGATGGTTTATGGCAACCTTGCATTGAGCAAGTGTATTGATGCCATTTTTCCAACAGCATTTGCTTGCTTCGTGTCCCTGTCACATTTTGGTAACTCTTGCAATATTTCAAACTTTTTCATTATTATTACATTTCTTATTGTGATTTGTGATCTTGGATGTTACTATTGTAATTGTTTTGGGGAGCCATGACCCGCGCCCATATAAGACAGCAAACTTAACCAATAAATGTAGCGTGTGTTGTGACTGCCCCACTGACTGGCCATTCCCCCATCTCTCTCCCTCTCCTTGGTCCTCCCTATTCCCTGAGACATAACAATATTGAAATTAGGCCAATTAATAACCCTACAATGGCCTCTAAGTGTTTAAGTGAAAGGAAGAGTCACACGTCTCTCACTTTGAATCAAAAGCTATAAATGATTAAACTTAAGTGAGGAAGGCATGTTGAAAGCCGAGACAGGCCAAAAGCCAGGCCTCTTGCACCAAACAGTTAGCCAAGTTGTGAATGCACAGGAAAAGTTCTTGAAGGAAATTAAAAGTGCCACTCCAGTGAACACAAGAATGATAAGAAAGCAAAACAGCCTTACAGCTGATATGGAAAAAGTTTCAGTGGTCTGGACAGAAGATCAAACCAGTCACAACATTCCCTTAAGCCAAAGCCTAATCCACAGCAAGGCCCTAACTCGCCTCAATTCTGTGAAGGCTGAGAGAGGTGAGGAAGCTGCAGAAGAAAAGTTTGAAGCTAGCAGAGGTTGGTTCATGAGATTTAAGGAAAGCCGACTCCATAACATAAAAGTGCAAGGTGAAGCAGCAACTGTTGATGTAGAAGCTGCAGCAAGTTACCCAGAAGAGCTAGCTAGCTAAGACAATTAATGAAGGTGGCTACACTAAACAACAGTTTTTCAGTGTAGATGAAACAGTCTTCTATTGGAAGAAGACGCCATCTAGGACTTTCATAGCTAGAGAGAAGTGAATGCCTGGCTTCAAAGCTTCAAAGGACAGGCTGACTCTCTTGTTAGGGGCTAAGGCAGCTGGTGACTTTAAGTCGAAGCCAATGCTAATTTATCAATCCAAAAATCCTAAGGCCCTTAAGAATTATGCTAAATCTACTCTGCCTATGCTCCATAAATGGAACAATGAAGCCTGGATGACAGCACATCTGTTTACAACATAGTTTACTGAAATATTTTAAGCCCACTGTTGAGACCTACTCCTCAGAAAAAAAGATTCATTTCAAAATATTAGTGCTCATTGACAATGCACCTGGTCACCCAAGAGCTCTGAAGGAGATGTACAACGAGATCAACGTTGTTTGCATGCCTGCTAACACCACATCCATTCTGCCGCACATGGATCAAGGAGTAATTCTGACTTTCAAGTCTTATTACTGAAGAAATACATTTTGTAAGACTAGAGCTGGAATAGACAGTTATTCCTCTGATGGATCTGGGCAAAGTACATTAAAAACCTGCTCAAAAGGATTCACCATTCTAGACGCCATTAAGAATATTTTTGGTTCATGGAAAGAGGTCAAAATACAACACTAACAGGAGTTTGGAAGAAGTTGATTCCAACCCTCATGTATGACTCTGAGGGGTTCGAGACTTCAGTGGAGGAAGTAACTGCAGATGTGGTGGAAAGAGCAAGAGAACTAGAATTAGAAGTGGAGCCTGAAGATGTGACTGAATTGCTATAATCTCATGACAAAACTTTAACAGATGAGGAGTTGCTTCTTCCCGAGGAGCAAAGAAAGTGGTTTCTTGAGATAGAATTTATTCCTGGTGAAGATGCTGTGGAGATTGCTGAATGACAACAAAGGATTTAGAATATTACATAAACTTAGTTGATAAAGCAGCAGCAGAGTTTGAGAGGATTGACTCCAATTTTGAAAGAAGTTCTACTGTGGGGAAAATGCTATCAAACAGCATCACATGCTACAGAGAAATCGTTCACGAAAGGAAGAGTCAATCGATGTGGCAAACTTCATTGCTGTCTTATTTTAAGAAATTATCACAACCATCACCCTGATCAGTCAGCAGCCATCAACATGGAGGCAAGACCCTCCACCAGCAAAAAGATTACAACTTGCTGAAGCCTCAGATGATGGTTAGCATATTTTAGCAATAAAGTATTTTTTGTGTGTGTGAGGAGGACTAGCCCTGAGCTAACATCCAATGTCAATCCTCTTCTTCTTTGCTGAGGAAGACTGGCCCTGGGCTAACATCCATGCCCATCTTCCTCTACTTTATATGGGACACCGCCACAGCATGGCTTAACAAGCAGTGCATCAGTGCACCCCCGGGATCCAAACCGGCGAACCCCGGGCCGCCACAGCGGAGCGTGCGCACTCAACCGCTTGCGCCACCGGGCCGGCCCCGCAATAAAGTATTTTTAATGAAGGTACGTACATTGTTTTTTCGACATAATGCTATTGCACACTTAATAGACTACAGTATAGTGTAAATGTAACTTTTATATGCACTGGGAAACCAAAAAATTCACGTGACTCGCTTTATTGCGATATTAGCTTTATTGCAGTGGTCTGGAACTGAACCTGCAATATCTCTGAGGTATGCCTGTACATAAGGTGATAATTACAAGCTAACACTTATTATTAAGAACAGTTTGGGCTTACCCTTAATCAATACAAGAATAAAACCTACCAGGTCTGACTGTGGATGATAAAAGGAATATAAAATACAAACATGAGCAAGCCATCATACTTACAGTTTAAGGAAGAGAGAAGAAAGGACTACTGACACAGACGAAGCAGCCATTGCAGCAGATCCCATCCAGGGCTGCAAAACCAAACCAATGGGCATAAAAACTCCTAGGAATCAAGTTTGGATTAGTTAGAGCAGATAATACTAAACAGATTACCAATGTGTTTCTAATATGTATATACAAATCATTTCCTTGTTTGATATTTATTCAGCAATTTACCCTTCCATTGGTGGAGATTTATGTCATTGCCATTTTTTCACTAATGGAGTGTTGCTGTGAACCTTCTTGTACATGTCTCCTGTGCATATGTTTGAGAATTTCTCTAGGGGGCATACCTAGAGGTGAAACTGCTGGGTTATAACATGGGCACATCTTCAACTTTAGGTGGATATTCCTCAATTGCTCTCCGAAGTGGCTGTACCAGATCACAGTCCCACCAATAGCGTATGAGAGTTCATGTTCTACAAACTCATCCTACTTGGTTTTGGTAGACTTTCTAATATTTACTCATATGATGGGGATGAGATAGACTTATTGTACTTTAAATTTTTCATGTCCTTATTTTTCTACTTTTTGTAAAGTAATCATGTACTACTTGTATAATTTTTAAAAAATTACTTGCTCCATTAATTAATCTCTCTGGACTTTCTTTTTTTACTCTTTGTCCTCTCAGCATTTGTGTATCCTTGTTGATAAACAGCTTTGTAATTGTTCTCATGTATTTCATGTCCTTCTTTGGCTCTCAAACCAGAGAGAAAAAGAAGAAAGTGATAACTATCATGTTATTACTAACTCCTACCAAGCCTCTAAGTACAGGAGATTATCAGATGCTTATTAAACAATTCTAAATTTCTTTTCCTTGGTCACATTCCTTCATTCAATCTCTGTCTCTCATCCCGTCCCCAAACCTAAAAAAAAAAAAACCTGTTGGCTATTAGAATGTTAAGTGAAGAGCAGAAAATTCTCTGTAAGCTGTAATTACAACTATGTAACAAGATAAAAACTGATGCAGAGTAAAAAAGACCAGAAGGAAATATACTAAAATTCTAGCAGTAGTTGTGTTTGGGTAGTGAGATTAAAGGTAAATTTGTTCTTTTCCGCCAAAAATACAAGAATAAGTAAATAAATATATATGTGTGTGTGAGTATATGGAGAAAAAGATGAAGGAATATGGCAAAATATTATTAATTGGTGAATTGTGGTGAAGGGTATACAGGTTTTCATTGTATCATTTTTTCCTTGTTTATGTAGGTTTGAAAATTTTCAAAATATAAAGTTGGAGGGAAAAATAAAGTAAAACAAAATAAACCTGTCAGAATGTTTATACATTCTTGGCTATAATGAACATTGCTGAAAATTAAAATTACTAATTTTAATATTACCTCTCACCACACCAGCAGGCTACATACAAAAACTGAATTCAAAACTAATAATAAGAAGACTAAAACTTCCAATATGACAGGTCTCTAACGACTTCAGAGAAAAAAGTAAAACTAGTTAACAGTCACATACCAGCAGCAATGGGAATTCCAACCAGATTATAAATTAGAGCAAACACAAAATTTATCCGAATCCTCTTGACTGTCTTCCTTGATAAGTCAATACTTGCCACTACATCCAGAAGATCATTCTGAGGACAGAAATATTTGTGATATTAGTGAGAGACTCTAACAACTAGTAACTTTTGCATATGATATTGTGTATATTGAAGATGATGTGTACCCTATGTACATTAACTACAAATCTCAGATATTGCTGAAAATTTGAGAAAGCCTTGGAAGATGTTTTTCAGGAATTTTTCTCAGGGTTCTGAAAACACTTTTAGGGTTGTATGCTGGTACAGGGATTAAACCCCATTAAAATAACCTCAGCAAGTATTTATTGAAGCTAATTTTATTATAAGTATATTCCCAAATCTTATTCTTCATTTAGAAGCTTGTCATTCTCATTTGCTTTGGTGGATTGAGAAAGTCTGGAAGTAATTAGTAAGACCTGTCATACTCCCATCTCAAATTCTCCCAGTCTCAACAGCTGGGAGCACGGGAATTAGAAGAGCAGAATCACTGTACTCGACATATTTTATGACACCGTCCCTGACCATGTGGAGTAGTCTCACACTCCTCAACGTTCAGGTCACAGGACTTACCCTTATCAAAACCACATCGGCTGCTTCAATGGCTACATCTGTGCCGGTGCCAATGGCAATTCCAACATTAGCCATCGCCAGAGCTGGAGAGTCATTGATTCCATCTCCTACCATTGCTACCCGTTTCCCCTCCTCTTGAAGTTGCTTCACCTTAGCAACCTTGTGTGAAGGTAGAACTTCAGCAAACACCTTAGTGATGCCAACCTTCATGAGGAAAAATAAACTCAATTCATTTCAAGAAATATTACTGAGTACCTGAAATATAAGTCAGCAATAATGAGCCATCATTTTCCACCCACCAGATATCCAAATTTTAAAAGACTGATAATATTCAGTGATAGTAAGGATATGGAGAAATTAGCTCTTTTATACAATGTTGGTGGGTGTGTAAACTGGTACTGTCTTTTTGGAGGGCATTTGGCAGCATCTATCAAAGTGTGCACATCATTTGGTTTAGCAATTCCACTTCTACTTATATTTTCGACATAGTGGTATGTGTAAAAAAAGATGTAAGTCCAAGGATGTACATTACTGCCCTGTTTGTAACAACAAAACTTTCAAACCCACGTAAATGCCCATCATTAGGGGAATGGTTAAATAAATTATGATACACCTGTACCATGGAATTCCATGCAGCAATGTAGAAAGAATGAAATAACTTTATATGTTCAGACATGGACAAAGCTCCAACGCATATATATTTTTACGTAAAAAAAGCAAACTGGTAAACAATCTGTACAAAAATGATCCAATTTATGTTGAAAATACCAGGACTATACATTTCTACATGAATATATATGCATATGAAAAGGTGTGGAGGGGTAGGACTGGACAGGGAGCTTGAGAGGTGACAAACTTTTTACTTTATATCTTTTTGTATTTTTTTATACAAGAATGTATTCATATATTAGTTGTTATTTAACAGAAAGAGGAGAAAGCATTCCAAAGTAGAAAAGACTAATATGAGAAAAGTTTTGGAGGTAAGGCAAATGTGGGGGTCAATAGCAGAAAAATGATACATCAAAGTGGTGCATTAGGAAGGTGGTTCCATCAATGGTGTTCGGGATGGAGTAGAGAGGGAAGTGCATGGAGCTACTGCTGTATTTTAGGCATAAGAGGATGAGAGCCTGGCTTGGGCTGGCCACACTGGTGAAGAATATGAGCAACATTTCAATGGAAGCATCAACAGAAACTGGTGTACGGTGTCACTCAGACATCTCACGAACTAAGCAAATAGCTTTTTACTTATAGCAGTAACATACAAAGCCCAAAGTCCTTCCCACATAGCATGCCAATTCTTCTTTAAGGAACCAGATATAGCCACACTGATAATGAAAATAATAGATAATATAAATTTTTTTAGCATCTGAAGGCAAGAAAGAAAATGTATATGAAGAATTAGAAATCCCCCCATCCCAACAATTAAGTACACCAATTACCTGAGAAGCAATAGACCTAGCTGTTTTACTGTTGTCTCCAGTCATCAGAACTACTTCTAAGCCCATAGATTTCAGAATATGGACAGCCAATTCTGCTTCAGGCTTCACTGTATCAGCAATAGCTATCAAGCCACACAGCTCATCTAATATAGGAGCACCAGAAAATAAGAGAGTCTGAAATATGGTGAAAGTAGAATAATATTCTGACTTAAAATTTCAGAAAGAAATGAATTTTAAGTTGTTCGGAGGGGCTTGCCTTAACTCAAAATATCTCCAAGCCCACACAGACTTTATACCACAAGCCGTGCGACAAACCTCCATATTTGGTTATGAAAATTTCACAGAGTGAGGTAGGGGTTACTAATGAAGGTAGTAATAGGAAAATGAAAAGAGAGATGTTACTGGATACTAAAAGACTTTTTTTTTCCTTACAGAAGTATTTGCCAACAGCCCCAAACACTTCAGCTAATTTAAAGGCAAATGAAACTGAAAACTTTTCTTTTTAAGGTGAAGGGGGTGGCTGGAGACAAAACTGGCATTTTATACTGGGGAAAAAAATCACTGCAAGTAGTTATTTTATTTTAAAAACAAAAGTAAATGGTACTTTCTGCTTCTTTCTGGACCTAAAAAGGCCATAGTAAGATACTGCCTTCATACTTAGCAAGGATTATAAATGTTGATTAATTAATCTCACAGCTAGAAATTTACCCTAAGAAATAATTTAACAAAAGAAAGCATCTAAAACCTCAAAGACGCTTATTTGCAGTGTTATTTACAATAATGAAATATTAGGAATAGCTTAAATTTTCAACAAGGGAATGATTAAATTAATTACAGTATATAAGTCTGATAAATTATGCAGCATTAAAATAAAATTAGAAAATAGTCATTATTAAATAAAATAAAGCAAAATAAAATAGTATGTGTACAAAGGATTTTAAACTTTTATTCAACTTTATTGAGGTAAAATTTACATACAATAAAAGGCACCCATTTAAAAATAGTATACATACTAATATTGTAATTCTGTGTGTATATATATACACACACGAAAAAAAAACCAGAAATGGAATATATGCAATTAAAACTGAGATTGTGCTAGAATGATGAGATTATGGATATTATTTTACTTTGCTATTACTTTAATGTTATGTTATTTTTAGGTTTTAAAAAAATCCTTGATTCGCTTTTTTTAAAAACATAGGCCAGGGAAGAAAATAACAAAGCTAGGCAAATGCAAGAGAATTTTAAATTAATCAGTAACCATTATGGATTACTAACATTTTCACTTTGCATTCAGACTGCTTTTGAACAACCCTCATAGTTCAGAAGTCTCTAAAAATACACATAAAACAATAACTGAGATCACGACACTGAGTCATAGTGTACTTATGGAAAACCTTACCATCAACTGCCACTAATACACCAGTACGACCTTTTCTCTCGTGTTCATTCATGGACTCATCTACATCGTTATTAATGAGAAGACCATTTCTAATCATCCACTCCCGGTTACCAATGAGGACTTTGTACTGCTGAGCATTAAGAGAATCTGAAAGAAAGTAGAGAAATAACATTTAGTGAGCTTGTTTAATATTTATAACAACCCTGTGAAGCACATTCTTCCTGTCTAACCTTGCACAGTCACTACATTGTATTTTTGGTACAACATAGCCTACAACAGTGATTTCCAAATTTTCGAGGAACACACTCTGCTCTTCCATGCCTCTGGGCCTTTGCACATGTTGCTGCCTCCACCTGGAATGTCCTTACCCTTCCTCTCCAAATACCAAACTCCATCATATTCTTCAAGAGCCAGTTCAAATGTTACTTTCTTTGGTGAAGCTTTCCCTTTAACCTTTCCCTCTGATCTTCCATAGCAACTGAATTAAATTCAAAATATTTATTGTGCATCAGCAGCCGAATGTGGTTGGATGCAAACATACAACCATACTGATGTCTCATTTTAAACATGTGGCCGCTAACTTTAAGTGGGCCCGTAGTGCTGTCTGGGAATTCTACTGCATTTCCCTAGTCCCTCCATTCTCCATTCCTTCTAGGTGGCTATTTTATACCTTCTCTTCTCCCATTCTCATACCAGATGATGACTCTGTTTCCTACCTCAGAAAGAAAATAAAAGCAATCAGAAGAGAACTTCCACAAGCTCTCATCACCACATCTACCCAACTACCTGTGCCTGTGTACACATTAATCTAGCTTCCCTTCTGTTATTAGAAACTGTCCTCGCTCCTAAGGCCAACCTCTCCACTTGCACACTAGATCCCTCTTATTTGCCTATTCTAGAACATCTCTCATACAATTCTCCCCTCTCTCTCCTGAATAATCAAATTTTCTATCTCTGCTGTACATAGTCCTATCTTTCTTTCTTTCTTTCTTTCTTTATTTATTTATTTTTTGTGAGGAGGACTAGCCCTGAGCTAACACCTGATGCCAATCCTCCCCCTTTTTTCTTGAGGAAGATTGGCCCTGAGCTAACATCTGTGGCCATCTTCCTCCACTTTATATGGAACGCCACCACAGCATGGCTTAACAAGCGGTGCGTCGGTGTGCACCCGGGATCCGAACCTGCGAATCCCGGGCCACCGAAGCAGAGCACGTGCACTTAACCACTTGCGCCACCGGGCTGGCCCCCATAGTCCTATCTTTAAAAAAAAATGTCTCTTGATCTCACTTACCTCTCTACTGCCCCATTTCTCTGCTTCTGGATATAGCAAAACTTCTCAAAAGGGTTGTCTCTATTGGCTGTCTCCAATTCACATCTTCCTGTTCTCTTGTGAACCCCTTCCAACAAAGCTTTTGTCTCTACTACTCCAAAGAATTGTTCATACAGTACACCAGTGACCTTTAATAAACCTAATAGCTAATTCTTAGTCCTCACCTTACTCGCCCTATTAGCAGCATTTAACACAGTTGATCACTCCCTCCTTCTTGAAATACTTTCTTCGCTTGGCTTCTAGGACAACACATTCTTATGAGTTTCTTATGATTTACCTCCTCACTCACCACTGCTTCTCAGTCTTTGCTGATCCTTCCTTATCTCCTTGACCTCTTAATTTGTGGTGTTACAGGGCTCAATCCTTTCTTTTTTTTTTTGTGAGGAGATCAGCCCTGTGCTAACATCTGTCAATCCTTCCTCTTTTTTTTTTTTTTTTGCTGAGGAAGACTGGCCCTGGGCTAACATCCATGCCCATCTTCCTCCACTTTATATGGGACGCCGCCACAGCATGGCTTGCCAAGCAGCACATTGGTGCGTGCCCGGGATCCAAACCGGCGAACCCCATCCGCCACAGCGGAGCGCGCCGCACTTAACTGCTTGCGCCACTGGGCCGGCCCAAGGGCTCAATCCTTAAACCTTCTTTTCCCCTCTCTCTACTCTCACTCTTTGGTGATCTTATCAGTCTCATGGCTTTAAATACCATCTATACCAGCGCTGTCCAATAGAACTTTTTGTGATGATGGAAATGTTCTATATCCGCTCTAATACAGTAGCCACTAACAATATGTGGCTATTGAGCACTGAAATATGGGTAGTATGGTTGAAGGGCTGAATTTTAAATTAAATTAAATTTTAATTAATTTAAATTTAAATAGTCACATGTAACTAGTGGCTACCAGATTGGACAGCACAGATCTGAAAGTGGGTAACTCCCAATTCTCTATCTCCAATCCAGTCTGTTTCTTTGAACTCCAGACTTGTGCAGCCAACTGCCTAGTTGATATTTCCATTTATATGACATCTCCACTTTAATATCTAATAGGCACTCAAACTTAACATGTCAAAAACCAAACTCCTGATCAGTTTTCCTCAATACTGCCCCTCTTGAAGTCTTCCTCATCTTACTTAAATGGTAACTCCATTATTCTAATTTGCTTAGGCCACAAACCTTGGCATAATTCTTGACTCCTGTTTGTCTCATACCCCATATCCAATCTGTGAGAAAATCCGTCAGACAGCTTTCCCTTCAAGACACATCCACTTCTTATGACCTCTCCTGTTACCACACTGGTCCAAGCCACCATTATCTTTCACCTGGATTATGGCAACAGTCCACTAACTCGTCTCCCTGCTTTTGCCCTTGCCCCAACCGCCACCTCCAACAGTGTATTTTTACCAGAGCAGCCAGAGTAATACTTTTAAAATGTTAAGTCAGATTCTGCCACTGCTATACTGAATACTCTCCAATGGCTTTCCATCTCAGGGTAAAAACCAAAGTCCTTCCAACGTCCTTACACAATCTAGTCCTGCACTACCTCTCTGACCTCATCTCTTACCCTCTTCCCACTCATTTCTTCTGCTCTAGCACACTGTTCTCCCTGCTGTTCCTCATAGTCAAGCACACTCCTGATTCAAAGCTTTTGTACTTAACATTCCTCCTGCCCGGAACACTCTTGTCACAGATATTCACAAAGCTTTCTCCCTCCCCCTCCTCAGGTTTTTGCTCAAATACCACATTCTCAATGGGCCCTACCCTGATCATCTTATATAAAATACGACATGCTACTCCCAGCATTCCCTATATCCCTTACCCTTCTTTATATTTTCCTCCATAGCACTAACTCCATCAGACATACTATATTTTCTTATTTATTTGCTCACTGTCTTGTGTTCTCCCACCAGGAATGTAAGCTCCATGAGATAGTGACTTGGTCTATTCTGCTCACTGCTGATTCTTTAGTGTCTTGAACAGTGCTTAATAAAAGCTGACAAATGAATGAAATTACTATGTGCCAGGGTACTTGATACTAGAAGTTCATAGACAAAGAAATTGCCGTTTAGTAGAATTACACAGATAAATAAAGAATCATCATGCAGTGTACCTAGTACAATAACAAAGATTAAGTATAGTTATGATTTAAAAAGAAGAACAAATATCTCTGCCTGTGTATGTCAGTCAGTGAAGGCTTCACTGAAGAGAGATGCGAGCTACGTCTTGAAAGATGAAAATAAGTTCATGAGGTAGATGCCATCGTGTACAAGGACATTACCCAGAGAAAAGAGTAAATGAAATGATTTAAGAAGCATGAAATGACACGATGTAAGGAAGAATTTTAAGTAGTTTCATATAGACAGAACACAGAATACACTGGGGCCAGTGGAAAGAGACAAGATGGGTGGTGCAGGGAGGCAGGAGACATATCATGGTGAACAGATCTTGAACAAAGTCAAGAGACTGAACTTTGTCCTGCAGGAGACAGAGAACCAGTAAAGCTGGGATCCTTAATAGAATTCCATGGATGGCTTGAGGATATATGTTAACCTCTGAAACAGAAATTTTCTGAGGGGTAGGTATAGCTTTCATCACATTCCTTCAAAGGTTTATGATTCAAAAATAGGTTATGAACACTATAATAAAAGGTATTAGTCAGAAAGTGATATAATAAAATTTGCATGTTAGCAAAATCACTTGAGCACAAATAGGTGGGAAGGTGCTGGAACACTTAGGTGGGTATACCATGTTTTTGGGTAGATGGATAGACCAACAAGAAACCCAGGAAACAGGCCTTGGCTAGAGATATGGATGTGGGAGTGGTAGTGGAAGCCTACAGGTGGTAGAAAAAGCGATAGGCATGAATGAGATTCTACAGAGAGAATATGTAAAATGAGTAAAAGACAAAGAACAAAACCCTGAGGACACCCAACATTTGAGAGCAGGAGAAAAGAGGAATCAGAGGAGGATTACAAGAAACAGCCAGGTAGGTGAGAGGAGAATCTAGAGAAAGCAAGGTCATGGATTCAAGGGAGGGAAGAGTTTTAGGAAGGAAGAAGTGGTCAACATTCTCAAATGCCTTCATGAGGTCAGGCAGGAGGAAGACTGAGAAGTAACCACTGGAGAGGGTAGTGAATAAGGTCATCAGTGGACTTAGAATAATTTCAGTAGTATGGATGGGGCAGAAGCCAGACTGCTGTGAATAACTGAATTCAGCAAGCCTAGACTATTCTTTCTAGAAGCTTGGATATAAAAGAAAAGAAAGATAGATAGGACAAAATCTAAATGTGAATACAGTGATTTTGAAGGAAGAAATGTTTATATGTTTAGGAGAAGGAGCTACTACAGAAAGAGAGTTGGAAAATAAAGAAGCAAGGGTACATAACAGAGAGTGAGGTCCCTAGGAATCAAGGGTGGGATCTAGAGCAAAGATGAAGGGATACCTTAGGCAAGATAAGGGATACCTCTTCCCCTGAGAAAGGAATCGTTCTGGGCAAAAAAAAAAAATTTGAAAGAACACGTGTCTGAGAACTTTAATTTATATGTGAAAAATAAGCTAGATAATTTGCTTTAGGGAACTAGGGGGAAGGTCACAGGATCTCGTGAAGGATATAAAAAGTTTAGAGTAGCTGTGGTGAGAAATAAAAGAAAGATGGCTGAATTAAGATGGAAGATCAGCTAAGGCTAGACTTCATCACCGTATAGTAGAATCAAGGAGCACAGTTGGAAAATGTTCTTGAGTCACCTAAGTGAAGTGATCAGAAGGCCTATGGTAAAACTGATTTGAGAGAATAAAACCATGATGCCAATTTTTGTTTCTTATATAACTGTTCAGGATTATAAAGTCAGATATCTACTCATAACTGTCCCATAATTAGTACTACAAAGAAAATTAGCTTACTTGAGAACTGGGCATCAATAATCATGGAAGACGAAGTGGATGGCTGTTCATTACTTGCATCAATTTGAACCAGAGATGCATTTTTAATATTATTTTCCTCTGTCTTCCAGTTATTCTTATGTAGCAAGCCTTCAATATTGGTGACTTTACAGCTAATACCACAGCCTGGCACAACCTGGAAATCTGTGCATGTACCCAAGGTTTCAGTGTCCAGCTCCTAACAAATAGAAACAGAAGGATTTTGTCTGCTGTTCTAATAATTCAAGGTCATCATTAGCAAGATCAAGATCACTGCTGGTGAATTCTAAATGTTTAGACACATGCTACATGCCTGGTTAATTCTAAATGTTTAGAATAAAATTGTCACCTATCATTGCCTATCCAACAGTGGATTGTGATAAGGATGAAGAAACAGAGCATTGAGTATGATGTTCAAAGTTACAGGAGAACATGAGAGTGCTTTGTTTTAATCCCACTCTCTAAAATCTATACCAAGTTTAGGGAAAGAAAACATGGAAGGTTTATCAATATTCTCTGCCCTTTCCAGTACACAATTATAAGTTAAATATTTAATTCTATTGTCAAATCAGATTTTCTATTCAGTACAGGGCAAAGAGTAACAAAGAACAGGGCGTTTAGTTACCAGAGTGCCTCTCTAGTATGATTCTGTGTCCTTGGTAAGCCAAGTAAGAATTCTGGTAGCCATCATTGTTTCCTGGCTCTTTTTACCTTCATCCTCTCTATTGTTTGATTTGAGTGTAAAGAAGCCAGGTCAGTAATAGTTAATAGGTAAAAACGAAAGAACAAATAAAGAAATGGCAACACCAATGGTAGAAATTGCCACATTTTAACTGTAAAATTATATGAGATAATTTACAAAGAACTTGTACAAATCAATGTGAAAAAGGTAAACAATCCTATGGAAAAAGAGGCAAAGGATACAAGCAGACAGGTTACAGAAAAAGAAATTCAAATGGCTAATACACGAAAAGATGCTCAACCTTATTCATAATTAAGGAAATGCAAAGCAAATCATCAATGAGCAAATATTTTTTCTTATTAAATTGGGAAAAATAAAGTATTGGTAAGAATGTAGGGAAATAGGCACTCAAATTTGATGAAAGTATATAAACTGATACAACCTTTCATGTGGGTGTTGGTAATATTTGTCATGTTGGCATTGGTAATATTTAACAAAATTTAACTTGCATGTATCCATCCTTTGATCAGCAATTGCACTGATAGGCAGTTAACATAGAGATGAACTCTCAAAAGCTGATAAGGATGTTAAGTATACATTGTAAGAGCCAAAAAACGAATCATACAATAGAATATAATATAGCCATTAAAAACAATGAGGCAGATCTATATGTCCTGATATGGAAAAATTATTTAATAAAATAAAAAAACAAGGTACCAAAGACCGGTCCCTGTGTGACCTTTCTATGTAAAGTTTAAAAAATAATAAATGCATATATATTGGCATATGCATTAAAAATGGTTAACAGATGCGCACTTTTGTGAATATACTACAAATTATTGAATTGTACACTTTACAAGGGTCAACCTAATAGTATGTGAATTGCATCTCAATAAAGCTGTCATTTAAAAAGACTGTTAACAGGTTAACACTTGTTAAGCTTTGGAGAGAGGAATTATGGAAGGCAGGGAACGAGACTTCCCTTTTTTTATTATGTAACTTTGAACTATCTGAATTTTCCTACCATAAATATGTATTACTTCTATTTTAATTTTTTAGTCAACAAGGCGTTATCTGTGTGATAGAATTATAGTTAATTTCTGCTTTCATCTTTATACTTCTCTGTAAAAGAAACTAAGATATAAAATAAAATGAGAAAATACAAGTCTCTCTAGCCTCATACCAACTATATATATATACATACATGTATACATATATATATATATATATATATACATGTATACATATATATATGTAAATAATAGTCAAATGCCAGTTTGGATTTGTTCTGGATAATTCTTATAGGAGATGACTACATTAATAAACAAGGGAAAAATTGTACCTTCTTGCAGTATTTGGTTATGGCTGCTCCTAGAGGGTGTTCACTGTTACTTTCAGCAGTTCCCACAATGGCCAGGATCTTATTGCGTGATATTCTGTTACTTTCCACTAGAACCTTTACTTGATTCACTACTGGGGTTCCATGGGTAATGGTTCCAGTCTTATCAAATACCACTACCTTTACCTATAAGAAAATAAAAATACAGTGAACCTATATGACTTGATAATCCTTACTATCGTCTTTCCAGAAATGAGAAAAAGGTTTACTTTGACAAACAGATTACTATTTTGTTTTTTAATGAACTGACCTTTGAATTAATTGGACTTAATAAACCGTCTTTGGGAGAACAAAAGGAAGGCGAAATAAGAGAAGAAATACTCTTAATTACACCTAATAGCCCTCCCTTGCAAATGTTCAACTGTAATGTGGATATATGTTAAACCAGAACTAGTTGTTAAGCGTTGAGCGTTAACAGGTAATTAAGAGCTGCCTCTAGTGCCTCCAGGGAAAGAGAAAGGCTTTCAACACTAATGAATTATAGATGCGTAGGGCAAATCTGGGCAGTAGACAGATGATTACAAAAGAAAGGCAAGCAATTTAGTTGAAGTGAATACCAGATAAGACCTGGTCAGTGGCTTTGACTTTATTGGGTCTAGATGAGAAGCTTGGTCTGAGAAGAGGAAGCTCAGGGAACCAATGAGGGACATGAGCCCAGACAGGAAAAAGGAAGGGTCTGGAATTACAGAACACAGTCACCTCGCAGTAAACTTGGAATAAAAACCTTAAAAAATGAATAGCTTGAGGAACCGAGATGAAAAGAGATATAACAACTAAATACAAAGCATGATTTTGGACAAGAGAAAAAAATAGCTATAAAGGATATTATAAAGACAACTAAGGAAAGTGGAATATGGACTATAGATCAGATAGTATTATATCAATATTAATTTCTTGATTTTGATCTTTGTACTGTGGTTATATAAGAGAACGTCCTTGTTCTTAGGAAAGGAGCCTGATATCTGCAGTAAAGGGTATACAGGAGTTCTTTATACTATTCTTGCAACTTCTCTTTAAGTTTGAAATTATATCAAAATAAAACATTACTATAAAAACTAATAGCCTGTATTGACTGGCTAGATAAGGTTCCGAATCTGTTCTAAGGTATGTTCTGTACTTACTACATGCATCTGCATATAGTTTGTATCCTCATAATAAGAACATACTGGAAGGAACATGGTTTTAGTTGAAGTCAAGTAGCCTTGATTGAGATTGTTATGGAAATCTTAATAGGAGCAACAGCAGGAACAGGATTATATTCCTAAAGTCATAGTTGCAAACTGTCAGCTGGTGGCAGCAAAGGCAAAGAAACTGCAATGTAACTACAAGTGCTATCTCACAGTGAAGAACACAAACATGGAGTCACACACAAATAGGTTCAAAGCCTGACAGAGTTGGGCAAATATTCCTGGGCGAATACCTATTCTGTCTTCCTGCCCTAAAGACTGGTCTAGTCTGAGCTGGGATAGGACTCCAGGTTTTCCACATCAGGGTCTGCTCTAAGAGAGTAGACCTGGAGTAGTTTGAGATCTTAGATAACTAAGGCCAATCCAGAGCAGAACCAAACTAACACCTTTCCTACTTCAATCCTCAGGATAGTGTCAGAAGAGGCTCAGCTTATGGACTATCTGGAAATAACTTAGGACTCTTTGTTTCTCAAAAGGGGTGCTATTCCCAGTTTGGATGGCACAATTCTTAGTTCTGGGGACTATCGTACCTTATGAGCCATCTCCAATGGCTCTCCACCTTTGATTAGTATGCCATTTTGAGCACCTACTCCTGTACCCACCATCACAGCAGTTGGAGTGGCCAGTCCCAGTGAACAGGGGCATGCAATGCACAGAACTGTGATAGAGGCTTGGAAAGCAAAGCGTATTATTGTTTCTGTTCGGGAGATACTTCTGTTGTAGCCCTTTAAAAGAAAGGCATGAATTTTTGTTACTGATTTAGAGCTGTATAAAACAAAAGGAACAAAGCTTAACCCTATTTAAATAAAACCACAATTTTGAAGTCACACATTATTCTACTTAGCTATCAACACATACATATTAGTTACTGGTAAGAAAACACTTTTTCATGAATGTAAGAAATTGTGACATAACTGGCAAACAAGTCACAGTCCTAAAAATCAAGATTTTAATTTTGCTGATTCCAGAGTTACAAACTATGGAGTGAACATAAGAAATATAAAAGTCAGCTTTTTTTTTTTGCACCATATTGAGAATAAGTGTTTTTATTAGTTACTTTCAAAAATAGCTGTAAACAGAAGACCTAATTCTCAACAAATTTGATCCTGAAAAAAAAGAATTCTGAATTTCTATATACTACGACCACAAACCTACCTTTCACACTATTATTTAAAAATAATGAAAAAAATCACCCAATCACCCAGCATGCAAAGAGAACTTAATCACATTTCAATAAAATTATTTTGGATGTAACAATGTGAACTGAGTATATCTGGTAATATAGCTCTTAGTGACACTGAATATTTATTTGCTCGTGTGAGGAAATACAATTGATAGTATTAGGGGGAATCTCTTAAGACCCCCCTGAACTCACAAGAAAAATTTCTGAAGGATACATGTTCCAAAATACTTCTCAGAAATCCTCTTGTTCAATGTGTACTTAACCAATGTGAATCATCTAAAGAAAATTTTTTATATTATAATAATGACCATATCATGGAATAGATACATAGTTGTTATTATTCTCCTTGTTCTTTAATTGAAGGGACAAAGCATGAAACAGTGTACAGCATAGCATTTTGAAATAAAGAAACACAATAAAGTAAGCCTTTCTTAGTAGTACTGGTTTTACAGTGCTAGGTTCTTACTAAGTTCTCAAATGCTTAAACTAAGTGTTCATCTAAGAGTTATATATCTATATAGAAACAGAGCTGGAAGGGACTTTCACAGATATCTAAGCTTATGCTTTCACATATGTCATATGTGTATATTTTCACCTACACTAATTCCAATGCTGGAATTTAGGTATTATTATCACTATATTACAAATGACAAAACTGAGGATAAGAAAAGTTAAGTGATATATCTCTAATATGAGGCATAGTCCAGGTCTACTTTACCACTTCACAACACCATACTTTAGAGACTATCATAGAACTAGAGAGGAGGAGGCACTAATATTATCTCATATTTATAAAACATTTAATAAATTACAAAGTGTTTCTAATATATCACCTTGCTTAACTTTCACAACAACCAAGTTACGCAGGATGGGTATTACTAAAATCTCACTTTACGGAGCTGGCCCGGTGGCATAGCGGTTAAGTTCACATGTTCCACTTCGGCGGCCCGGGGTTCGCTGGTTTAGATCCTGGGTGCGGACCTACATGCCGCTCAACAAGCCATGCTGAGGCGGCGCGTCCCATATAGAAGAGCTACAACTCTACAACTATGATACACAACTATTACTGGGGCTTTGGGAGAAAAAAGAGGAAGATTGGCAACAGATGTTAGCACAGGGCCAATCTTCCTCAAAAAAAAAAATCTCACTTTATAGATGAGGAAACTGAAGCTCAGAGAGAAAGTAGGTTGACCTCAGATCTCACTGATGGTATGTGGCAGACCTGAGATCTCAAGGTCTTCCTCAATATATCTATAGCCCTTTGTGAAAGCAAAATCATCCTGGGAATAAGACTAAGTACAAAATGTAAAAGTTTAGTACTTGCTTTTGGAAAATCACAAGCCATAATGAAAAAATTCTTTTCAAAAGGAAATCTTTTATATTTACAGAAATGCAAATGTTATTCTTATCACTCTCCCATTCTGGTCCCTTAAAGATAACAATAATTATTAAAGTTATTTTCCAATTACTTACTTATGCAAAAAAATTCACAAACTGTTTGACATATGGTAAAGAGTTGTTACAAGTCACTTACAGGAAAGTAGGCTTCCACAATTTCAAAATTCAGAAATCCAATTATAATCCAAACCAAAAGGGTAGCGATGGAAACAATAACAATAAAAGGAACAAAGTAGCCACTGAGTTTGTCTGCAAACTGCTGGATAGGAGCCTAGAATTAAGTAATAATAATAATAAGTATATCAAAAATCTCCTTTTTTGATAATGAATATAGAGTATATTTGGTATTTAGCAAAAACAGAAATATTTTAATAAACTCCGTATTAATGCAACTAGAATTAATCAAAGGAAAATACAAAAACTAGATCAAGATTTATACTGAGCAGGCTTTAAAGAAAATACTTTCTCTTTCTCCTAGGGAGTTAAGCTACCTTTGATGTTTGTGCCTCCTCCACAAGTTTGACAATTTGAGAAAGGGTTGTGTCTGCTCCAACATGGGTTGCACGGATAAGTAGTGACCCATTCTGGTTAATGGAACCAGCAATCACTGTGCTGCCAGGTTTCTTGGCCACAGGCATTGCCTCCCCTGTATAAGGAATAAAGATAGATTTAGTGAACATAAATAAACACTATCTTGAAATGTACGGTTATTTGTTAAAAGTCAAAAAATATCTAGAAAGGAGGTTCTTACTTCAAGAAATAGAATCTGGACAAATGCCTAGGTGAAAGTTGCCCTCCCTTTTTCCTTATTTCAGTTCTGGGCCAAACACAGAGATACATATCTTAAACTGGAAAAACCTAATATGTTAGCTCTTGTTGGCAGATACTTCTGGAGCTCCAAAAGGGAGTTCTTGTTTATAATAACTACTGGTAAGGCATGGGGTTCTGCTATTCCAATTTAGTGGGCCAGGGTCAGGGATACTAAATTTACTACAATGTGTTAAGACAGCCCCCTAGAACTAAGAATTGTGCCATCCAAACTGGCAATAGCACCCCCCCTTTTTTTTATTGATGTCATAATAGTTTGTAACATTGTGCGATTCCAGTTGTACATTATTATTGTCAGTCACCATATAAATGCACCCCTTCACCCCTTGTGACCACCCCCAACTCCCTTCCCCCTGGTAACCACCAAACTGTTCTCTCTGTCCGTGTAGCACCCCTTTTAAGAAACAGAGAGTCCTAAATTATTTCCACATAGTCCAGAAGCTGAGCCTCTTCTGGCACTATCCTGAGGATTGAAGTAGGAAAGGTGTTATTTTGGTTCATCTCTGGATTGGCTTTAGTTATCTAAGATCTCAAACTACTCCAGGTCTACCCTCTTAGAGCAGACCCTGAGGTGGAAAACCTGGAGTCCTATCCCAGCTCAGACTAGACCAGTCTTTAGGGCAGGAAGACAAAAATAGGTATTTGCTCAGGAAAATTTACCTAAGTCTACTGGGCTCTACAGCAGAATGAGACAACTTCCTTTGGTTATACATTCTAGTAATTAACAATCCTCAGTGAAAAGAGCCTTCAGTAGCATAACTAAAACCACAAAGTAAATCTGTGGAAATTGATTTAATACACTCTTTAAAATAACTCATATTCCCTTTGCTCATTATTTACTCATTCCATAGTTTCTACAAAAAGCTCTTTACCTTTCATGCCTATTCTTCATTAACACTTTGGATTCACTTCAGTTTCACGTCATTATCCTCTGGGGGAACATACCTGTGATGAGGGACTCATCTACCATAGAATGTCCTTCAATAACACGACCATCCACTGGAAATTTGCCTCCTGGAACTACTTTAATGATGTCTCCACGTTGTACAAGTTGCACATCCACTTGTTCTTCACTGAATATGAGTTAAAATAAAAAGCATCATGACAATATGCTTCCCATCTTGATCTTTCCATGCAAGCTTTTTAATTCATGTCAAGGTTGTGGCTCCATAATTGCTACCAATGGAAGCCAGAACCAACATTTAAGCTAGCAACTACAATGTCAGTCCTATTCACTGCTAGGGAACAGCTCAGTACCTGGCACAAAGTAGGCACTCTAAATATTTGTTAGATAGTCACTAAAAAAATAAATGAAAGCTTTAGATAATAATGTAATGGGTTTTATTTAACTAAACAATTTATTTATTGTGTAAATATGCCTAAATAATTTTATGAGTATACAAATGAGACATACAGAAGAGTGAAATCGAATCAAACCTTTAGCTCTAACTTCAAGTTTACAGGTAACACAGGAGCTATAGAACAAGTTAAATCCACAAGGAAGCAAAGAGACAAATTCAAACCGTGGGATATTCTACAGGACAACTGATGGATGTTTCTTTAAAAAATCATTTGTATGGAGAGGGAAAAGCTGGGAGGAAGAAAGGAGGGAGAACGGAGGGAGGAGCTGTTCTAGATTAAAAGAAACAGGTCAGGGGCCGGCCTGGTGGCACAAGCGGTTAAGTGGGCACGCTCCGCTGCGGCGGCCCAGCGTTCGCCGGTTCTGATCCCAGGCGCACACCGACGCACTGCTAGGCAAGCCATGCTGTGGCAACATCCCATATAAAGTGGAGGAAGATGGGTACAGATGTTAGCCCAGGGCCAGTCTTCCTCAGCAAAAAAAGAGGAGGATTGGCAGATGTTACCACAGAGCTGATCTTCCTCACGAAAAAAAAAAAAAGCAACATGTCAGTCAAATGCAATGATGGAGGGACCTTGTTTGAATTCCATTTTAAACTAAGAAACTTAAAACATTTTGGAGACAATAGGAGAAATGTGAATAAGGACTGCACATTAGATGACATTAAGGAATTATTGTTCATTTTGGGAGATGCAATAGGTACTATAGTTATATAGGAATATGTCGTTTTTTTAGAGATACTACAGGAATATTCAGCAGTAAAACAATATGACTGGGATTTACTTTAAAATACTACCACAACAATAGAAAGAAAGAATGTATAGATAAAGTGTGGCAAATGTGAATAATTGTTGAATCTGAGAGATAGATTATGTGGGTTCATTATACTCTTCTCTCTACTTCTGTGTATATTTGATATTTTTCATAAGAAGTTAAAAAAGAGAAGGGGGAAGAATGAAGATAAATACCTCAAGAGGATATTATCAGAGTCAAGAGTTACAATAGTTGCCTCAGTAGCTTGTAGTGAAATTAGCTTAGCAAGAGCCTCTGATGTTTTGCCCTATAAATTAAAACAAACACGTTAACAATGCTAAGGAAGAAAAAGCTCAGGTCTTACCTAAAATAAAGATACAATCTTTAACATTTACCCCAAAAACAGCTTTAGGAATATTAATTAGTTTGAATCAGAAAATGTTTCACTCAGGGCCGGCCCCGTGGCTTAGCGGTTAAGTGCGTGCGCTTCGCTGCCGGCGGCCCGGGTTCAGATCCCGGGTGCGCACCGAGGCACCACTCCTCCAGCCATGCTGAGGCCACATCCCACATACAGCAACCAGAAGGATGTGCAGCTATGACAGACAACTATGTACTGGGGCTTTGGGGGAAAAATAAATAAATAAAATCTTTAAAAAAAAAAAGAAAATGTTTCACTGAAAAAATATGAAGTACACAAATATAAAATGTATTATTAAGTATAATTTATAAATAAATAATGTAAATTAATAAGAAAAATATCAGGAACCCAACAGGTACAAGGGCAAAGGACATAAATAGGTAATTCATTTAAGAAGAAATACAATACCCGATGTGTGGAAAAATGTTTATCCCTGCTATTAATGGAAGAAATGCAAATTTTTTTTTTTTTGTGAGGAAGATCAGCCCTGAGCTAACATCCATGCCAATCCTCCCCGTTTTTTGTTTTTTGTTTTTTTTTTGCTGAGGAAGACTGGCCCTAGGCTAACATCCATGCCCATCTTCCTCCACTTTATATGGGATGCCGCCACAGCATGGCCTGACAAGCGGTGCATTGGTGCGAGCCCAGGATCCGAACCCAGGCCGCCAGCAGCAGAACGCACGCACTTAACCACTATGCCATGGGGCTGGCCCCAGAAATGCAAACTAAAGCAACTTTACGATACCATTTAATGCCTACAAACTTAGCAAGAATTTAGATAGGAGTAAATGCTGATGAAGTTGTAGTAAAACCACTTCACTAACATACCCCTGCTGGCAAAAATTGCTACAATTTGTAGCATGAGCCATAGAAAGATTTATGCCCTTTAATCATATCCTTTGTAATTTATCCTAAGACACTAATTCAGTAGAAATAACTATTAGACATAAATATGTTTAATGCAGGATTATCTAAAATTAAAAATTGGAAATAATCTGAGAACAAAACCAGAATGGTTTAGTAAATTACAGCACATTGATTTGACAGAATATTATTCAGAAATACCAAATAATTATCTAGACTGCAAAAATGAGGAAAAAAACCTTATAGTGTTAAGGGTACAAAGCGGGATGTATACTACGTTTGCCACTCTGTAAAATATAACCGTCTGTGAAACAGGATTAGAAAGTGATTTCCATTACAGCATGGAATTATGGGTGAATTTTTTTCCATCATTATTCTAAATCTTGTGGTCACATCAATTTTTCCAATAATAATGTAATATAAATAAATAAGATAAGTACTTCTCAAATGTCTCTCTCTTAAAATAAACATGGACATATGGTACTATCTACAGTATTAATTTCATAAATTTGATAAATCTAAAGGAATATTTAACTTAAAATATTGCCAAAACAAAAATACTTCTTTCAGTAAATGGTTAACTACATAAATGAATGTATCTTTCCAATAATTGGTCTAGAAAATATTATGGTCATTTATCCATCCAAGATTTTAACAACTGTCTGTCTTTCTTACTTTACCTTTGCTATATGTTCCAGCCACCGGCCTAGTGCAATAAACACCAATAGCATAGGAGGTGTGTCAAAGAAAGTAATAGGGTTCACTGTGGCTCTCTCATACATTGCAACCAGAAGAATAACCAAAGAGTAGGCAAATGCAATGGTGGTTGCCAGCACAATCAGTACATCCATATTTGCAGTCTTATGCTTCAGTGCTTTGTAGGCCTGAATGTAGAAGTACCAGCCTCCGAAAAACTGTAATATAGAAACAATAATCATTGCTTTTTTAAAAAATGCTGAAATTCACATATATACCTCAATAACTAAGATACAGTATCAATGTTAACTTCCCTTGGCTTTTATCTAATCCATAAACACTAAGGAGAGATTTTAAGCTGCAACAAGAGTGTTTGTATTTTAGCAGATATGTGAGTGTAGGGATTCAAATAGCTGTACAAGCCCTTGGCAGCTGTCCTCTATCATCCAATGGATACTTCATAATATAAAGAAAGTCAGAAGGTTCTTAGATTTTTCTTTTTGATGCTAGCAAAAACAAGAACTAGGCAAAGAATTACATTCTTTTGACAAAGATTTTTTATATAAAACTCACCTTCTCCTTTCCAAAATTCAACCTAAGTGGTATATCACAAGCTATTGGATCTGTTTTTGTTGGAAAACATGACTGAAAAGCTTATTTCTCATTAGTATAAAGAAACATACTAAGATGTTTTAAAAATCATTATTGCCTTTTATAAGGATCAGAAAAAGGAACAGATTTATTATTAGATTAGGAATTAAATTAGGAATTTATTTATTAGATGAACACTTAGATGGAAGTGTTCCATAGTAAAAGTTTATCTCAAAAAAAGAACTGAAAACATACAGAAAGTAATGAACTTAAGTGCCAGGGAGAAATAACAAAAATAATAATATAATATAATAATTATTATAATTATTTTATTTTATATAATAAATTAAATATATATTTATAATGTATTGAATATAATTAATATAAATATAATTGGTTTTAATATGTTTAATATTAAATATAAATAAACATATTTTATTATTATAATAATATAACTTTAAATACAAAGTTATATACAACAACAGGTATGAATACCAAATTCACATCTGAATATGAATTGTACTCTTATTCTCTGCTTTGTCATTAAACAATATCCTTAGGGGTTAAAGGGAATTTATTATCTACTTTAACCAATCACTCAGTTTAAGATTATTTTTGTAAAGCATCCAGCATAAAATAATCAGACTTCTGGCTAATATCTGTTCTGCAAATGAAAACAGCCTTGCCTGCCACATTTTTGCTATTTTTCATTATTAACAAATATACTTGCTAACATTTCACTTGCCTGTACAGGTACACACAATAAAAAGGATAGCAAATTCATAATGGACAATCCTGGCAGGATCTGGCGCTCCAGGAACATGGAAGAATGACTGTAGATCATTTCTTCTTGGCTTATGTTCTGATTATGGTGAAGAGTTGCAAGGTGGTGGTCCATAACCATCATATATATCATCAGCCCCATTACAGGAATACAGAAAAATAGGCTCACAAGGAAGGACCGTCTCCATCTCACGTAGAAAAGAAAAGTCATTTTAGTAAGTAGCTAATGGTTAAAGATTCTATGTACTACAGGGAAATATAAATTGTGACCACTCCACTCAGTATAAGGATGATATTGTAAAAACTGACATGCTAAGAGGATGTTAAATTTGTAACAAGGAGTCAAAATCTGTTTTTCACTGACACTCCAAAAGTACTTACTGTCTTATTTCTCGTTTATGGTCTAGGTGGCTTGCTGACCGATCCTTCTTGACCAAAGAAGCTGTAAAACCTAAGCTCTAAGGAAATTCATGAGAAAACAATTATTTCACTGAATGTATAAATATTATGTAGAGAAATTCTAAGCCATGGTATTGTCATTAAGAACAATTCAATTCAATTACTGAGTGCAAGTCACTCTGGGGAATACAAAGACGAAGATGTGCTTCTTTCTCTTAATTACCTTTGTTTCTAATCTTTCATCAAAGAAAGGAATATTTCCTCAACTCCAGTTAATGTCTATCCTACTGTTCTCAAACTAATGATTTAACTCAAGTGAAGTTGTCCTCAGTAGAGGTTCTTATTATATCAAAAAGTAAACTAAAGCCTCTAATAAGTAATTTTGGAAAAAAGCAGAATCTGTTCCTTGGTCAGGCTGACAGAGTGTTTCACGACCAAATAAAGACAGAAATCAGCAGTAAAATCATAAATCTTACATTTAGACAAGCATCATCTACCAGTACTGATGAATACTAATCACTTTTTAAAAAATTTTAGCTTTGACATCTATCTATCCATCCATCCATCCCCTGAACAAGTACAGAAAACTGAATAATAGGCCACAAAAGCTAGCACCATATTAAATATATTATTCAAGGCCTTGCATATACAGTCTTTACTCTTGTTCTATCAGAAAAAACACAAACAAAAATTTTCCTCAATAAAACAAGGTATTAAAAGAAAACTACACCTAAGTAAGACTCATATGAGCATAGACAGTAACATATACCATATTTTCAACTGCTAAGGAAAATTCTGCCATCTTACATTTGTTGGCAGTGTAACACAGTGAAAAGAGCAAGCATGAGCTTTGGAATCAGATTAGGCACAAATCCCAGCTATGACACTTACTAGCTATGTGACTCTGCAAGTAACTTAACTTCTCTTAACCTGAGTTTCCTTACCTCCAAAATGAAGATGACAGGTCTGTTGTGAGACTTAAATTAAGAGCTGAAGCTTTGCCATCTTGGTAACTGGCACATAGTAGATATTCAATAATGCCAGCTCCACAAAGATGTTAATGATATTATTATCTATACTAAAGCATCTTATCTGAACCATTAATATACTTTAGACCACTAGAACACCAGTGCTATACCACATTGAAACTTTTAAGGCACCTTCACAGGTACTACCACTTAAGATTTATTGAAGAACACAGGATGAATTTGTCATAAAGAAAAAGATTTGGTCTTTTAAATTTCTTAACTTAAAAATACATCATTTGGGGCTGGCCCCGTGGCTTAGCGGTTAAGTGCGTGCGCTCTGCTGCTGGCGGCCTGGGTTCGGCCCCAGGTGCGCACCGACGCACCACTTCTCCGGCCACGCTGAGGCCATGTCCCACATACAGCAACTAGAAGGATGTGCAGCTATGACATACAACTATCTACTGGGGCTTTGGGGAAAAAAATAAATAAATAAAAATTATTTTAAAAACCTGCTTAAAAAAAAAAATACATCATTTGCTTTGACCTAACAAACAATAAAGTATCTAGCAGGATGCTTCATTTTCTTAGCGATTAACATGAATCTTACTCATAACAAATTGCACTTTACTTTCATTTTCTAAATATTTTTAAATGATTTGTGGTTCTACCTTAAGCCTGTTCCTGATTAACAGCGCCAATGTGCCTTTGCCTAACTCTTCCTGATAAAGACCAAAGAAAAAAAAGCAGACACATTTACATTAAATTTTGAGACAGATTTGGTTATTTAGAGTAACCAAAGGGGTCAGATTTTTTTCATTGTCTCTATCTGATACAAACCAGAAGTGAGTGATTCAAGGGAGTGCTGATTGAATAGGTAAGAACACAGAAACGCAAAATCCTGGCACTTACCTCAATTGTATGGATAATATCTCTGGGTCCAATAATTTCTGGATCATATTTAACATGTGCTTTGTTAGTTGCCAGGGCCACAGAGCAGTAGAAGATCCCTCTGTGTTTTGTGAGGGTAGACTCTATTTTATGAACACAGGAGGCACACGTCATTCCTCTCACCTGTTAAAGACAAAGGCTTTCAGAAATATACTTTTTCCTCCACTAAATATGAGTTATTACTTTAAACTAAAAGAACTGTTGTAACACGGGATTAACACAGAGGATCTTATCTGTACTATTAACATGCTTTAGATATGATCATTAGAATGCTGTTTTTGTATCATATTGAACAAAGATATGGTCCCAGCTGCAACAGGTTAAATAGAAGAGGATCTCACTAAAAGTCTCCCGCTTCGTGTCACTACTCAGTGATAGAGGAATTGACCTCTATCATCATTTCTTGTGTTCAATGCCTTGCTTCCCTCTTGATTTTTTTTCATCCTGCTGAAGTATATAGCTTTTAGTATTACTTTTAGTGAAGGTTAATGGATGACAAAAGTGTTCTACCTCTGTCCAGAAATGTATTTTGCCCTATGTCTTGAGTGAGGTTACAGTTCAGTTGGGTATTAAATTCTAAAATGGAGGGGCAGGACTTCTAGAATGACTTTGTGAGGAGCTCAGCAAATCCTTTCCCCAAAAGGCAATGATAAAACTGGACAAAAGTGTCAAAAAACAACCACTGAAAGACCATGGGAAGTGACCAAAGAGTATACAATAAATTATGAAGCATTTATTCAAGAATATCTACTGAAGAGATATCAGTAATGGTGGAGTAAAGATCTCTGAAAATTCTCCCCTCAATAAAAGCACCGAGAAAACTTGCAAAAATTGTCAGAGGCAACTTTGTCGGAAATTCGGAAAATAAACAAAAGCTTGTAGCAATCCAGGAAGCATTTATACAAGAAAATCAGATAAATTCTGATAGAACAGCAAGCTATGTAGCATTATAATTTGCCTTATTCCCATCCCGTCCCCTCCAGATCTGTGGTAGCCATGAAGACCAAAAGCCCACAATCATGGTGGAAAACAGCATCAGGGAAGCCACCAGATAGGGCAGAAAAGGGTTGGAGTTCCTTCAAAGACTCATTCCCAGAGAACTGTCATTATTTGATCTGTCTGATGGTTCTCTGAAATACCCTACTTGCAAAGATATCTGTGTTTGCCCTAACTGGAGCTCAGTGAGTGCAAAAAGCCTTTTCCCAGGGAGAGTCAAAAACAATTAGAGTTGGGGCAAACAATAGGCTAACCAAAAAGCCTAAAAGGAAAAGCTGGGAAGCAAGATGTCCATAAGAGCTCCAACATATTCCTAGGAATCCAGAAGGCCATGCACATGCATAGGGTTATGCACATATTCAGGGCTGTATGCCTGCTCAGAAAAGACCTGAAAAGGCTCTAACCTATCACCTCAGGCTGAACTTTAGGCTCTGTAGAAGCAGGAAGTGAAGGCTAAGGCAAAATTGACAACTGCATGCCTGAGTGTTGAAGGCATGCCCCAACATTTACACAGAGCTCCTCAGCAAAGACTGGGAAACTTACTGGTTCCAGGTATTTAAGAAAATCTCTGTCCAATCATTAGCTGACCACTGAGCTAACCAAGCAGAGACTTCAGTGGCCACACACAACAAAGAATATAGACTTTATAGAATTAGTTCAGGAAGTCACTAAACAAACAATAACAATGACAAACAGCAACAACCTTGAGGGGGTAAGAATCTTATTTCCAGAGTTGCCACACTATATTTTCAACAAAAAATTTTGAGACATGCAATGAAACAAGAAAGTGTGGCCCACACACAGGAAAAAAGAAATCAGTGGAAACTGTCCCTGAGGAAGCCCAGACATTGGACTCCCTAGATAAAGATGTTAAATCAGCTATTTTAAATATATTCAACAACTAAAGAAAACCATGTCTAAAGAATTAAAGTATGAGAACAATATATCACCAAATAGAGAATATCAATAAAGAGATAGAGGTTATTATAAAAAGGCCCTATGGAAAGTCTGGAGTTGAAAAGTACAATAACTGAAATGAAAGCAGTGCCTATAAATTTACAGCCGTAAATGCCAATATTAAAAAATAAGAAAGATCTCAAATAAATAAGCTAACCTTCCACCTTATGACACTAGAAAATGAAGAGCAAACTAAATCTAAAGCAAGCAAACGGAAGGAAATAATAAAGATTAGAGTGAAAATTAACAAAAGAAAGGATAGAGAAAATCAACAAAACCAAAAGTTAGTTCTTTGAAAAGATCGACAAAAGTGACAAACTAGACTGACCAAGGAAAAAAAGAAAAGACTCAAATGATTAATATCCAGAATGAGGAGTGACCGCTAATAGGTATGGGGTTTCTTTTTGGGGTGATGAAAATATTTTGAAATTAGATAGTGGTGACAGTTGCACAACTCTAAGAATATACTAAAAACCACTGAACTGTACACTTTAAAAGGGCAAGTTTTATGTTATGTGAATTGTATTTCAGTAAAGCTATTAATTTTTAGAAGTCTTGAAAAAATAAAAACCTACCCATTCTTTTTAATAGCTGCTTAGTATCCCACAGTATGGATGTACATAATCTATTTATCTAGTCCCCAGTGACTAACATTTAGTTTTTTTCTATCTTTTGCTATTATAAACAATAGCAAACAATGAACATGTTTGTGCATACGTCATTTCATACACGTGCAAATATGTCTGTTGGATAACTTCCTACAAGTGGAACTTCTGAGGCAAAGGCTATGTGTAATTTTACTTTTGATAGATATTGCCCAATTCCTCTGTTGAGAACTTCTATCAATTGCCACTCCACCAGCAATATATGAGAGATCACAAACACAGTTAACAAAATCATTTTTTATCTTTACCAATCCAATAGGTGAAAAATGGCATTTCAGCGCAGTTTTAATTTGCTTTACTCTTATTATAAGCGAGGTTAAACATCTTTTCCTATGTTTAAAGAGGCACTGTTTTGGCTTTTCTGTGAACTGTCAGTTCATATCCTTTACCGTCTTTCTTTCGGGTTGCTGGCTCTTTTCTTATTGATTTATAACAGTTCTTCATATATTAAGAAAGTTAACCTTCAACTATAATATGAATTACAATTATTTTACTTGCTTTTTGAATTTGTTTATGGCATATAAAAAGAAAAAAATTTTATATACCTGAATTTATCAGTCTTTTCTTTTATGAGTTTTGTATGATATTTAGAAAGGCTCTTCCTAATCTAATATTATTTTTTAAATGATGGATTAGATGTTATCATTGGGGAAAGCTGGGTAGAGGCTACATGGAAATCCTCTGTACTATTTTTACAACTTCTTTGTGAGTCTAAAATTATTTCCACAATGGATTGATGGACTGATGGAACTGTAAAATCTAGGTGGTGTGTATGAGGGTGTCCACTGTACAATTCTTTTGACTTCTCTGATGTCTGAAATTTTTATAATAAAATATTGAAAAAAGCCTCCAAATAGTTCTTCTAGTAATTTCATGGTTTCATTTTTTACATTCAAATTTTTGTTTGAGCTGGAAATTATTTTGGTACAGGGTTTAGTTTTTTGTTTTAACTGTTTAAGTTGTACGAATAAAACTTGATTTGCTGGCTTGAAGAGAACAACCATTTTAAACCAATATGCCTTACACCTGGTTGTATGACTTCATTTATAAAATTTAAGCCTTTAGGGGCCAGCCCGGTGGCATAGCGGTTAAGTTTGTGTGCTCCGCTTCGGCAGCCCAGGGTTCGCAGTTTCAGATCCTGGGTGCAGACCTATGCATCATTCATCAAGCCGTGCTGTGGCGGCATCCCATATACAAAATAGAAGAGGATGGGCAGAGATGTTAGCTCAGGGCCAATCTTCCTCAGCAAAAAGAAGACGACTGGTAACAGATGTGAGCTCAGGGCCAATCTTCCTCACAAATAAAATAAAATAAAATAAAATTTAAAAAATTTAAGCCTCTAATGCATCTGGAATTTATTCTTTTACATACTACTAGGTAGATACTATATTTGAAAAGTTGATTTTCATTTATTCATTCAAACTCAATTCTTCTTTTTTGGTTCTTAACAGAGATATGATGATTATCTTTTACATTCTATGCTTGAAGGCCACCATTAAGTCATATCTTATCCTTCCATTTTCCAGTTTCCTTAATTTTCTTTTTGTGTCTTATTTTCCCAACCTTTAATTATCTTTAGGACTCTTTTCTGAATCCTCACCATGTTTTTCCTGGAAATGTTATTAATCACATAAAAATTCTTACTTACAACAAGTTCCAAAACACCATCTCCTTCATCAGCATTTTCTATTACAGTGGCTCCAAATCCAAGCTCTCGGATGAACTCGGCTATCATCGGGGGTTGTATAACAGCAGGATTATATCTTACTTCTGCCTTGCCAGCCATCAGAGCCACAAGTACAGAATATATTCCTAGGAGCATTGATAAGAAAAACAATTCAGATAACATTCCTTATCAAAAGAGTAATGTTATAGTAGTTTTATTATCTTTTCATTTAACTGTGAAAGGATTAAAGTGAATCTGGAAAATTTATTACTGAACTTTTATACAGTCTTGAACCCAAACAAAATAAAACTATTTGAAAATGGGGCATTATTTTTTTAAACTTTTTATTATGGAGATTTTCAATTACATATATACAAAAGAGAGAATAACATAATAAGCCTGATGTACCCATCGCCCAGCTTCAACAATTACCAATAATACTGAGCTGATCTTGTTTCATTTATATTCCTACCGACTTACTCCCTGCCCTCAACTCTGATTATTTTGAAGCAAATCCCAGACATCGTATCATTTCATACGTAAATATTTAAATATGTATCTCTAAAAGATAAAGACTCCTCTCTAAAAAATAACCATAATACCATTATCACAATAAAATAAAATAATTCCTCAATATCATCAGATATCCAATCAGTATTCACATTTCCACAATTGTCTTATCTCTGCTTATTAGTTTGTTTAACACTGTTTGTTTTTTTCTTTGAATTGAGATCCAAATAAGGCCCAGGAGTTACATTTGGTTGAGACCTTGTCATGTAAATATAAAGCATTTTTAGAAGCTAATAAGACAGAGTCCCAGAGAAAGGAACTCATGCATTTAGGAAATCACTGCAGTTGTAGCAAAGAATCCAATGTACCAATGTATACATTATAATATTATCAAATGATAGCCATTTCTTGAAATTCTCAAGTTTTATGTCTGACACACACTAATCTAAAATGCTCTTATTCCTAGCAAAAAAAGTGCCACACAACTTGTTAACAGAACAAAGGAGTCATGTTATGGCAGTCATGCTGTTCTCTGGTGCAAGCCTTTTGTTAACAACTGTCCCACTTCTCTAGGCTATTGCTGTCATTGCCAGGAAGAAAATTAATTCCATATAGCAGAAATGGCAGTTCTTTCTAGTAATCTGTGGCACTTGGTGGCTACCTGACAGGGAATGGGATCAATAGTCCATAGGTCAGTTATTGGGTTTGATAAAAAGAAAAAGTAACTAAATATTAACTTAATAATAGTTTTTAATAAGAAAACAAAGTACCTAATATAATCTAAGTTTTCTATACAACATGCTTACACTCTGGGCTATATGGGTACCAAATAATTCAGAGGATCAGTTCAGGGGAAAGTGTCAATAATAAGAGAAGGGTATAGAGAAAGTAGGAAAAATCTTTTTGCTTCAGTTGAATGTAATCTATAGCCAAACAGAAATAGAAGGAAAAATCTGATTTTTCAAGTTTCAAAAATATGTTCATACTTATACAAAATTATGGATTTTTTTTTTTTTTTGGTGAGGAAGACTAGCCCTGAGCTAACATCTGTTGCCAATCCTCCTCTTTTTGCTGAGCAAGATTGGCCCTGGGCTAACATCTGCACCCATCTTCCTCTACTTTATATGTGGGACACCTGCCACAGCATGGCTTGATAAGCTGTGCATATGTCCGCACCCAGGATCTGAACCTGTGAACCCCAGGCCGCCAAAGTGGAGGGCGCAAACTTAACCACTAGGCCACCGGGCCAGGCCCTGGATAATTTTTAAAATTATTACTTCAAACTATAATTAGAACTATTTCTATTCATTTTTATACATATAAGGCAGACTAAATTGAGGAAAGACCAGTGTTACTTAGTTAAAAAAAAAAAAGTGAACATAGTGACCCCAGCAAGACCAATGGTATTCCTAATTGGGTTAAGAGGAAGTAAAGGGGATAGTAGGGAGTAATCGGAAGAATCAGGAAAATGGACTTTAAAAAAAAATCTGTAATTGGCATAGGCATTGCTTGTCACATGAAAAAGGCTATTTCTGAATTGTCTGAAAATAGTTGGTTCTAAAATTAAACAGGGGGGCCGGCCCGGTGGTGTAGTGGTTAAGTGCGCACGCTCCGCTTTGGCGGCCGGGGGTTCGCAGGTTTGGATCCCTGGTGCGCACCGACACACCGCTTGTCAAGCCATGCTGTGGCGGCGTCCCACATAAAGTAGAGGAAGATGGGCACGGATGTTAGCCCAGGGCCAATCTTCCTTAGCAAAAAGAGGAGGATTGGCATCATTTTTTTTTTATAATTTTATTTATTTTTTTTTCCCCCAAAGCCCCAGTAGATAGTTGTATGTCACAGCTGCACATCCTTCCAGCTGCTGCACATGGGACACGGCCTCAGCATGGCCGGAGAAGCAGTTCGTCGGTGCGCGCCTGGGATCCGAACCCAGGCCGCTAGCAGCACAGCACGCGCACTTAACCGCCAAGCCACGGGGCCAGCCCAGGAACTTTGCAAAGTTCTTTTTGCTTTCATTTGCTTGCAACTTCCCTCCTTTTTTTTAATCAATCAAAACGTAATATAAGCTTTAGCCCTGACTGCATTCTAATTAGATATAATGGTGGCTGAAATGAAGCATATAGAAATGACAAAATGCAGACAGGATACTATTGAACTGAAGGTGGCTCTGTATAACATACATTTTGTTATAATAATGTTCTGGCCTTTATATATAAGGTGATTCTACTGGCCACAGGCCTGCATTATTACTATATATACTTAGTTATTTCCCCAAGAGTGGGGATAAACTTATACTAATTTTATACTTATTTGGCCCTTGTGACTAATAGCATGTATCATTAAGACACCTGGGCCTAGGCCTGCCTAAGTACCAAACCTATGACTTCAGTCGCATTAAACACAATCACATATCTCTATGGTTAACAAATCTACTAGGCCATACTGTGAAGTCTATTAATGTGAGTTAAAATTTCTAAGCTAAAACATCTGAGTGCGACTGAATAAAAAAATGTTGTAGATTTTCTAAGATTTTGTAACCTAAAATTAAAATTTGTACACAATATTAAGCAACTTTTTAACATTTTTACTGGAGGCAAAGATCAACAATCAAACTGTTGGAAGAGAACAATAATTCTAAACAAACCTGTTTTTGGTCTGGTGCTTGGTCTGGGTATAGTAATACTGAAACTTATGGATCCTAGTTGTCAGTGTGAAACATAGCTTTATCAGAAAATTTATGTTTCTTAAAATTCATTGCAGACAGGGTCCATAAAACATAGTAATCTTTTGTATTTCCTTCTGCTATTTTCCCACAAATTTCATTGATACTAAAATGTGATCATGAGGCAAACAAGACAGGAACTACATCGAAGGGAACAAAACACTAACAAAAACTGGCTGTCAGGAAGTCAAGGTTGCCCTGTACTTCACCGATAGTCTTGATGAGGCCTTGGCAAGAATCATAAACATGGTTATAAAACACATAAGAGGACAAAAAGGACAGGGTCCTCAAACTAGTACATAAAATAACAGGCTTTAACGAGTTTCTCACCTTCTTCTCGTCTTAAATTCCGTTCGATGTTTGCTACACAGGAAGCACAAGTCATACCAGTGACCTGTATGTGACACTTAGATGAAGTCTTTGCCTCCTCCTTGTCGTGAACTGGTGTCATCATTTTAGGATAAAATTCATTAGTTGAGGTCAAAAGAGGCATTTCTGATGAGGGCTGGGCTATTACTACCAATGGCTCATTTGTATCTGGCGGACAGGAAAGAGTCTTTTCATTTGAGGTATTCTCCAGCTGCATCCTTGTCATTCATCACAATCCACACCTCCAGGTACTGTCAATCCATTCCTTTAAAACCAGCATGGACCTAGAGCCCTCAGCAATGTTACCTTTACACTTTATAGGAAGTGACTTCCAATTTCAATACTGCCCAACCTAGTTCTCAGGAAAATCTAAACTAACTGAATAAACAAAACTTTAGTTATATCAACCTCTTTCAGCCATTATCTCCACCCCAAACCCCAGGTAGAGAGTAGTTTGTTAGTAGATAATAGCTCTTATTTTTATAATGCATTTTTATCATCATGTTAACAACTTGCATAGTGGCATTAAAGCAATTTGTGATATAGTAAGTGGAACAAAAAGCAATTTACAAAACAGCATTACAGTACGATATAATTTCAAATTTTTTTGAGTGTATGTGTATCTGAGAACACGCACAAGAAAGCCTGCAAGTCTACATACCAAACTATTAACAGTAGCTACTTCTGGGGAATGGGGTTAAGACAGGAATAGAATGACAGATGAACAGATTTCCTCTATGGACACTTCTGTATTGTTTCAATTTTTAATACTAATATATAATATTTTTTTAACTAAAATGTCTCTGTGGACAATGGAAGAAGAGGCAAGGAGTAAGTCAGCAATCTTCATTTTGTGTAAAGGAATATTCAAAGGATCTCTCCATAGAATGTTTATGGGCTGTGCAACAGTAGGAAGCTCCTATTATCCCAGAACCTCCCCTGCAGTCTCAGAAAATCTGCTATTCTGTTTTAGCCTCTCCATTGCAGTATTAATCACCTCCCAAGCAGGGACAAATTACTCTCTTTAGCACATCCATGCACCTGCAAAAAAGCTAAAGATTTTCTACTCCACTGCAAAGATAAGGAGGAAAACAGGTGACGTGGAAATTTCCACTAACCTATCTAACTTGTTCTTTCTCCCTCTTGGGCAAAAAGTTGGTTCAGGTCTATTTGACTAGCCCACAGAGCAACCCCTGCACAGCGGAGTTGGTTTTCAGGATGCTGAAGAAGGGCATCTTTTGAAGAAACTTTAAAAAAAGCCTGACCATTTCTCTCATGAATAATGATCTAGACTTCTCAAATCAGTATAATAATGGCTCTTAAATTTTAACGCAATTACAATCACCTGGGAGATCTTGTTAAAATGCAGATTCTGATTCAGTACATTGAGGGTATGGCCTGAGATTCTGCATTTCTACCAAGCTCCCAGATGATGGCAGTACTGCCAGTCTGGGTATAGCAAAGGACACTGAATAGCAAAGGACTACATTCTCCCAATTCCAAAATTAGTCAGTCTCTGGTCTTAAGTGAATCACTTTAGAAAACTATACTTATTCATTCAAATTACGAGAGCATTATTTAGAACATGGAGGGCAAAATTTACCAAATAGTACCATTATCTTAAAGAACTCAAAAAGGAGGCTCATTTACCTAAAGAAAATAGCTTTCGCTTTGAAAAACACCATTATTTTAATCTAGCCAGGAGTTTACTTTATTCTCTCATAATTATTATTAAGACTTAATTTTGAACTTGGACAGCGAAAAAAAAAATTTACAGTGCCAATTACTTTAGGTCTTGTTCCAGAGTAATTTAGTTATTTCAGGTACCAGAGGTAACCCAGAATACCATCTGTAATTTTCACACTCTAGACGTACAGTATTAAATTAAAATAAGTCATAGAGGTAGTCATTTTTAGCTACCTCGGCATGACCTCTCAACAAGGATCCACAAAATTGTGACATTTACCCCAGTGAGTGTGGCAAGCAGAAAAGCAAAAGCTTCCATCTTCCACAGAGGCAGTGCAGGTGTTAAAAAGCCACAATTAATTAAAAGGCTCGTTTGTTTAAATTAGCTTTTCTATAGGCTGTAGCAACGCTACTTATGCTTAAATTCAAAAGGAAGGCTGACTTTCCTGCACTTGAGGCAACAATCAGAAAAGATTCCAAAAATTTCAAGAAAGGGTTTCCAATCTGATCCTCAAAACTGGTAGGTTCAGTGTATGAAGTAATGTGAGGAATAAACACATAATCAGAAAATGGCTTAAAAACAACTATAAACATCATGTCTGAAACTTACTCTCAAATGATTCAGAAAATGTTATTATATGTGGTGTGTGTGTGTGTGTGTGTATGTATGTCTGTCTGTCAATAAAGAGAATGATAAAACAAATGTGGTAAAATATTAACTGGAGAATCTGAGTGAAATTGGTAAACAGGAATTCTTTGTACTATTCTTTCAGCTTTTCTGTAAGTTTGAAATTAAAGATAAAAAAGTTACAAAAAAGGAAAGGAATTTGAGTATTTTGCTTGCTTTAACTGGTCAGTGAAGACTTAACTTCATATATTATCTGTCTTTTTAAGAGAATGATGAGATTCATGGTCATGATAAAAAGCACCTCCCATTTTTCTCACTACCTCCTTTAACATTTACAGCCCACCCAGGACTAGTGTGACATGAAGACAAAATGTGCCAATCCCTCTCTGTCTGGGAATGGGGTCATAGTGGTACACTGTGAAGCCTGGGTCAGCACTGATACGTTCAGAAAATGGGCAGCCACATTCTGGTGGCATCTTAAACTCTGATTTCTAGCAGAAACACAGAATGCAGTCGTTTGATATAAACCTTTTATCTCAACAATATGGGTCACCATAATCACAACTCTGTCAATTCTTTTATGGTGACATTCACTGTGCCAAGGTTTTTTACATATTCATCACGGCCATTAATGTGTTTGTTATGAGCTCTAACAGACGCAAGGCATGTAACAGGCTCCTGGTAATTATTTGTTCAATAACTGGTTCCTGGAGCCCTTGACAATAGTAGGTTGAGGTAAAAGTCATTGTTAAAAGTTACTGAACATGTTGCATTCAAGGTTCCTCAGGACTAGGTAGATGACAGACACGGTGCTAGAGACTATCAAGTACTCTTGAATTCCACTTACTAGTCTGATCAAAATTTCTCCTATTGCTCAAGTCCATATTTGAAGCCACCTAAAGTAATTAGAAAGTTGCTTTTGCTCTGCTCACATTTGTTATATAAAACCTTATAAATGTTAGCTACTTAAAATTTATTATTTAATATTATATATAATATATATATTTTTTTGCTGAGGAAGATTCGCCCTGAGCTAACATCTGCTGCCAATCTTCCTCTTTTTTTGCTTGAGGAAGATTAGCCCTGAGCTAACATCTGTGTCAGTCTTCCTTTATTTTTTTTTAATTGATGTTTTAATAGTTTTTAACATTGTAAAATTTGGGGTTGTACATTTTTGTTTGTCCATCACCATATATATATGTCTCCCTTCACTCCTTGTGCCCACCCTCCACCCCCATTGCCCCTGGTAACCAGAATACAGTTTTCTCTGTCCATGTGTTGGTTTATATTCCACATATGAGTGAGATAATACAGTGTTTGTCTTTCTCTTTCTGGCTGATTTCACTTAACATTATACCCTCCAGACCCATCCATGTTGTTGCAAATGGGACAATGTCTTTTTTATGGCTGAGTAGTATTCCACTGTATATATATAACACATTTTCTTGATCCAATCGTCAGTCGAGGGACACTTAGGTTGCTTCCACTTCTTGGCTATAGTGAATAATGCTGCAATGAACATAGGGGTGCATAAGCTTCTTTGGACTGTTGATTTCAGGTTCATTGGATAGATTCCCAGTAGTGGGATGGCTGGATCATAGGGCATCTCTATTTTTAATTCTTTGAGGAATCTCCATACGGTTTTCCATAGAGGCTGCACCAGTTTGCATTCCCACCAGCTGTGTATGAGGGTTCCTGTTTCTCCACATCCTCTCCTCATTTGTTGTTTTTTGTCGTGGTGATTATAGCCATTCTAACGGGCGTGAGGTGATATCTTAGTGTTGTTTTGATTTGCATTTCCCTGATGACTAATGATGTTGAACATCTTTTCATGTGCCTGTTGGCCATCTGTATATCTTCTTTGGAGAAGTGTTTGTTCATTTCCTCTGCCCATTTTTTGATCGGGTTGTTTTTTTGTTGTTCAGTTGTGTGAGTTCTTTATATATTATGGAGATCAATCCCTTGTCAGATGTATGTTTTGCAAATATTCTCTCCCAGCTGGTGGGTTGTCTGTTCATCTTGATTCTGGTTTCGTTTGTCTTATAGACAGTCTTCCTCTATTTTGTATGCAGGTCGTTGCCACAGCATGGCTGATAAGTGGTATGGGTCCGCACCTGGGATCTGAACCTGCAAACCTGGGCCACTGAAGTGGAGTGTGCTGAACTTAACCAATACACCACGGGGCCAGCTCCTAATATTACATTTTTATTGCCTTAAATGAACAATGTTAATATAGATTTAATTCAGAGATTTTATTCATAGAGGTCAATGCAGCAAATTATTCAGATCAGTGCTTCTCAAACTTTAAGGTGCATATGAATTACCTGGAGAGCTTATTAAAATTAAAAGGTAGATTGTGATTTAATGAGTCTGCAGTGGGCCAGAGTCTATTTTTCTAACAAGCTCCCAGGTGATGCTGATACTGCTGCTCTGTGAACCATGCAAAAATATAGACCCAAGTGAATAGGACAAATTCCGTTTTGGGGTCTAGTCTGAAAGTTTGTGAGATTCTTGCTTATGGTGATGAAAGACACCAGATTTAATTGTGAAAAATATTTCAGTTTTATACCATACGTGATATAAGTTGATATGATTTGGGTTCCTACATGTAAGAGGAATAGGAATATCACAGTGTTAAGTAACTTGTTTGATATTGATGTAAACTAAACTTATTTATGTAGTGTCCATCATTGATGACATAATGTATTATGTATGCCAAAGTATTTTAATTTAATAGAAACTCCGAGGAATAATTCTACATTATGAATTAGTGAAATGTGAATCAATATAATTTCAAACACCGTCATTTTGAAAATGTAAAAAATTGTAAGCAATGATAGATATAACTAAATTTTGCTGAAAATAATTTTAGTCATCTTTTATAGCTACCTGATACAGTTTCATTTCTAATATTTCCAATTTAAATTTTTATTCTGATTTCATAATTATTTCCTTTTGCAATTATGGATTTCCTATACTTTGTTCAGACTTTTAGAACTGGAAGCTCTTTATTTAACATTTTAGTATTCTGTATGAATTTTCTATTAGGGAATTATGTATTTGTTTTTTAGAGCACAAGAATCTTGGTCTTTTGAGATTTTCTTTATTAAAGTGAGAATTCTAGGTGGGAATGTAAAATGGTGCAGCCACTTTGGAAAACAGTTTAGCAGCTCCTGAAAAAGTTAAGCATATTCACCATATGACCGAGAAATTCTACTCCTAGGTATATACCCAGGAGAAATAAAAACATATATTCATGCAAAAACCTGTACATAAATGTTCATAGCAGCATTATTCATAACAGCCAAAAGAGCAGAAACCCAAATTTCCATCAAGTGATGAATAGAGAAACAAAATGAGGTATATACATTCAACAGAATACAATTTGGCAATAAAAAGGAATGAAGTTGGGCCGGCCCTGTGGCGTAGCGGTTAAGTGCGCGTGCTCCGCTGCTAGTGGCCCCGGTTCAGATCCCGGGCGCGCACTGACACACTGCTTGTCAAGCCATGCTGTGGTGGCGTCCCATACAAAGTAGAGGAAGACTGGCACGGATGTTAGCTCAGGGCCAGTCTTCCTCAGCAAAAAGAGGAGGATTGGCATGGATGTTAGCTCAGGGCTGATCTTCCTTACAAAAAAATAAAAAAAGGTTAAAAAGGAATGAAGTGCTGATACATGTTACAAACACAGATGAACATTTGTGTATCTTGAAAACATTATGCTACGTGAAAGAAGTTAGACACAAAAGGACAAATGTTCTATGACTCCTCTTATGTGATACCTAGAGTTGTCAAATTCATAAAGACAGAAAATTCAAAAAGACAGCAGATAACAGGGGCTAAGGGAGGGGAAGGGGAAATGACTACCAATGGGTATGGAGGTGATGAAAACATTCTAAAATTTGATAGTGGTAATGGCTATAAAACTCTGTGAATATACTAACAACCACTGGATTGTGTACTTTAAAAGGGTGAATTTTATGTTATGTGAATTATATCTTGACTTTAAAAAGTGAGAATTCAATAATTTGTACCATTTGTCATGAATATGAAAATTAAGAATGGAATGTCTCTGGGTCCTCTTTCACTGAAACTTATCTACCATAATAATTTGAGCATGTGTTTAATATAATTTTTTATGCTTCTCAGTTTTAGTGAGCTTGAAAAGAAAATATTGCTATTTGATATCCTCCATTCTGATAAGAATGGCAAAGGTTAATGACATTGTCTAGAAATTAGTTATACAACTTGTACATTGTTATTTACAGCAAGAAATTTCACTAGGGCATTTCCAGTTTAATTTAAGGCTAGGTTCAATTCCAGTTCAAAACAACAAGTTCAGGGCCGGCCCCGTGGCTTGGTGGTTAAGTGAGCGCGCTCCACTGCTGGCGACCCGGGTTCGGATCCCGGGCGCGCACCGACGCGCTGCTTCTCCGGCCATGCTGAGGCCGCGTCCCACGTACAGCAACTAGAAGGATGTGCAGCTGTGACACACAACTATCTACTGGGGCTTTGGGGGGAAAAAAAAAAAAAAAAAAATCTTTAAAAAAAAAAAAAAAAAAAACAAAAAAAACAACAAGTTCACATAGGTAAATTCCATTGGATATATTTTTGGTTTCAGTTCAAGGTAAGAGCTGTCAGGAAACAGGAAGACTTTAGGCCAGTTCTAGAGTCAGTTTAATTTGAATGCCTAAGTTTAAAAACTATGGTTAAAATTCTATTATTTATTTCTACCTTTTTTCTTTTTAAAATAACATTTGCTTCTCCATTATATATACATAAATACATATATACATACATCCTTGTCACAAAAAAACTTAAAATACTTTAAAAAGCACAATGGAAAGAAATATCACCTTTATCCTACCACTCACAAATAACCACTGTTAAAATTTTAGTTCATATCCTGCCAGGAATTTTATTCATTTACATACATAAATAACATATACATGGTACAAATCCTTATATGTGTGTTTATACAATTTTGATCCTATTCATACAACTTTTTAGCTTATTTTTTTCATTTAACAAAGTGTCTCTTTTCTGTGGCATTAAGTATCTTTAACATCATAATTTTTTATGGCTTCATAGCATTTCATCATATAGATGTATCATGATTTATTTAATGTTTCTAGTTTTTAAATATTATAAGTAATTATGTAAACATCTTTATGCATCTTTGTATATATCACAGACTACATCTATAAGAATTATTTCCAAAAACTAGAATTGCAGTGCCTATTACTCATTTCTCATTGATAAAAGCCAAAAGAATCAGCAAAACGGAGATAAAAGAACATTAGAGAAATCAAAGAAAAAAGTGATAATTACCTGACAATGTAGCATCAAATCCCATGTCTTCTATTGCTTTTCTCAATGTTTCTGGAGAGGTTAGTAGAGGATCATACTCAACAGTCCCATTGCCATTTGAAAGGGATACTCGTATGGATTTTACACCTGCCTTTTTTGATATGACACCCTCAATAGACTGCACACAAGAATTACAAGTCATGCCATCAATGTTTATCACGGTTTCTTGAGTGAGAGGCTGGCTAACTATGTTCAAAGGAATCTTTTGAAGAGATGAGCTGGAGGGAGAGTTTGAGGTACTCTCAACTTCACTTGTAATATTAACTCTATATTGCCCTGGTGATACAGCCTCTATTGCTTTTCTCAGGGTTTCTGGAGTGACTAAGCTTGCATTGTACTTGACTATGGCAGACCTATTCTCTAAAGAAACTACTATGCTGCTTATATACTGGAGTGTAGATAAAGCACTTTCTATATTTGACACACATGATTTACAATGCATGCCATCTACGATGAAAGTGACTGTTGAATCACTGGTATATGATGGACTCCTTTGCTGTGGTCTTTCTGAGGATTTGACTGGTGTGTTCTTTAGACGTTCTATATCAATAGCTCCCAATTTGAGGAACTTGGGCTGTTTTTTGATGAATGCTGGAAAGCCCGCAGCTTCAATCTGCTTTTTTATTTCCTGTACTGTGATAAGATGAGGTTGATAAACAATAGTAGCTTCTTGGTTGTCCAGGGAGACTAGTTAATAAAAAGAAAAATAATTATTTAATTCAGTTATTCCTGGGTCACTTCAGAAAACATTCTGTAGACCAAATCAATACCACACATAATTGTTTCTCTCTCATTGTTGTCATTATCTTTAAAATAATTCTGTTCTTTTCTGAAAATGTTACTGACATAGACTGGAAAAAAGTAAAAGATATGACCAGTATAGCTATGGTCTCCAAGTTTCTGCGTGCCTGAATAAAAATATATTAGAGGTAAAGAGGACCCCAGGCATGTTGTGTTAAGAACTATGAACTCCATGAATCACCACCCCAGCTGTCTTTTCTGCTAGTTCAAGACTCATATAAATTTTAATTATAATCATTAACTTTACTGACATTAATCCTGGTAACACACTGTACCTCAGATTTCAATGAAGCACTAAGTATTCTAGTCTCATGGATTCAAAGCCTATGCTTATGAAGAAAGCAAAAAGTTAAAAGGCCAAAGGAGAAAAGTAAGCCTTACAAAACAATCAAACAAATAACACCAGATATATTACCTTTAATTCGCTGAACACCTTGCAGTTTCCCAATTTTTCCTTCAATGGTGCTGGTGCATGAATGGCAAGTCATCCCTTCCACTTTCATCTTCAGCACGACTTCACCTGGTTGAGCCATACTGTAATCTTCGCAAGTTCCTGACTTCTTCTCCAGAGTTCCAATATCTAAACTGAGATCCGGAACCAGCTCTATTATCTGATTGGCAGTCACTACAGAAGGGATTATTGTCACCACTGCAGTTCTTTGCTGAGGGGAAATTTTAATGTCTGTCACACCCTTGGTCTTGAGCAATGTACTTTGGATATGGTCCCATGGTGGGGCCAGTGAAGCAGTAACAGTCAGAAACACAGTGTCAGTTAAAACAGGGATAGGGTTAGGATTGTGGAGAATAGTATCAAAGCCCATGTCATCAATAGCTTCCTGTAGGGTCTTTGGAGTCTGTAGTTTAGGGTCATAAATAATAGTTGCATTTTTTTCTTCCAGTGAAACCTTTTGGAAGGAAATTTCAGAAGTCAGTTTAATTAAATTACATGACATACAACTTAAAAATAGCAATCGTTGCACCACATTCAAAAAGAATGAAACAATTCAATCTAATGGAGTTTCTCTATTCTCATCTTTACTATTCTCTTTGAAAAGAAACACAAAATGTCTTGTGTACATATAGGAATGGTAAAGCTATATGCAGGTGTACGTGACTCAGGTACTGATCAGGCATTTGAAACATGTGCTTGGACAAATACACCCTAGAATTTCACAACACAGTGCAACCTACTCTTTCCTATCATCTCTTTTCACAAATTACTCCAATACTTCACACTCTACCAATTCAAAAGGTAATATATGAGACAGGATCAGCTACAGAAAACAAAAGGTGAAATGAAGGTCAAACTTTTAAAATGTCCAATTAAGGTAACTTTGTTGGCAAGAAAAGGCATCAACATGCTAGTTTATGAATGAACGCAATATTCATAGAATTTTGTAGCATATACTCCTATATCCTTCTAAGTCACTACAGTCTAGTATTAACTTTCGTTCAAATAAGAACACCTTTATTGTTTTGCCTGATTCGATTATAAAAACAATGATTGTATTCTTAAAGCTCATCTGCCGTATATAATTTAACTACTACCATGACTGCAGGCATCTCTTTGGATGACATCTTACAAAGATTTATGACGTAGACACACACACACACACACACACACACACTGAGTTGGGAGTCAGAAGATTTGATTGCGTTCCGGTGTCAATTCTCCACTTATTAGCCAACTACGCTCATTAGCTCTATCATCTGAAAAATGGGGAAATACACCCTATTATCTTCCAGGGTTCTTATAAGGATCATATGAGTAAATAGATAGGAAAGCAGCTCTTTGCAGCAGCGAGTTATATAAAAGTAAACACTGAACAACTAATATTTATTGAGCACTTATTACATTGCCAGGAACCGGGATTCTCAGGATACAAAGCTGAGCATGACATAGTCACATAACAGCAATACTAGAACAGAAAATACAGAAAACGGATACCTATTCATCCCTGAGAATACGGGTCAGAAAAAGCTTCTTAGGGGAGATAATACCTGGAGGTTAAAGGACAAACAAAAATCTGCAAGGCTATATGAGGCAGGGAATTCCAGACAAATGGGCAAGACCTAGCATGGAGGTTATAGAGGATAAAGTAGATGACTAGGATGACTTACGGGTTTCTAGAGTAGGCCAGTGGATAGATGATGCCATTAACTGTTATCAGAGACAGAAGGGGGAAACTGAAGGAAGTTAAGAGGTTAGAATGGAGGGTAAAGAAAGATGATGAATTCAGTTTTAGACCTGTTGATTTTGAGAGGCAGTAGGATATTAATGTTCTAAACGCAGTTAAAATATGGGTATTATTATTATTATTATAGATTTCTGGTGAAAAGCTTTGTTCCATAAAATAAAAACAACTCCAAAATATAATTAAAAGTAATTCAGAGTAGGAAATCTCACTTTAAATTATCTACAATGGTTATATAGTTAAATCTTTCGCTTATTTTAATTAACTTTATATTTTTATTTCTTCCCCTAGCTTGGTAATCAGTGGCTATGTATTTGGTGAAATCTTGAAATGTGCCCATGGCATGGAAGGTTTCTAAGACTCTGATAATTCTAGCTCATCAGCTTGCTCTTAGTTATGGAAGAGATCACTAGCATAAATGATCAAAATAGAAGAAGTGGGAAAATAATTTTGTTTTGGAATACACTGTACAACATTTTCCATGAATAAGCTGCAGAATAGCCAAACCACATGTAGTTTGAACATATACTTTTGAAAGAGATGCAATATAAATACAGCCACCATAAAATGAAGGCTTTTGTGTCTGTATCTTTGAAGAGATTCTTTTTTATTTTTTATTTTTTTTTTTAAAGATTTATTTATTTATTTTCCCCCCAAAGCCCCAGTAGATAGTTGTACGTCATAGTTGCCGTATGTGGGATGCAGCCTCAGCATGGCTGGAGAAGCGGTGCGTCGGTGCACGCCCGGGATCCGAACCCGGGCTCCGAACCCGGGCTGCCAGCATCAGCGAGCACGCACTTAACCACTAAGCCACGGGGCCGGCCCCAAAGAGATTCTTTTTTAAACTCTAATCTCACTCTCCTGAGGTCAATGATTTTCTGATTAAGAAAATTACTTAAAAAACTTAAACATTCAAACTAAATGGGAAGATAGAAAACAGATGAGGGGTCGGGGAAGCGTGACTATAAAAGAGCAGCACAAGGGAAATTTGGGGGTGATGGGACTGTGCTGTTCTGGTTGTGATGGTGGTTAAATGAATCTATACATGTGTTAAAATTCACCAAACTAAAAAAAAAATTTCATATAAGTATACACCAAAAAGAAGTCAATTTTACTATATGATAATTTAAAAAAATAAGATTAAAAATTCAGTTCCTCAGTTGCATTCCACACTTCAAGTGTTCAATTGCGAATTTGGCTACTGACTACTATATAGGACAGGGTAGATATAGAACATTTCTATCATATCAGAATGTTCCAATGGACAGTACCACTCTAGGTACTACCATATTTTTCTGATAAAATACCAAACTTCTAAAGAAGGGAGGAGGATTCTTTTCCCTTTGGTTTAAATACATTGTATCTGGTATCTCTTAAACAAGATCTGGTTTTAAGCTAATCTTTTTTCCCAAAAAAATGTCAATTTACCAACATACTCGAGAAATTTTCTTAAAAGTGACTTTACTTGTTTTATTTTTTTAATAATTTTACTTATTTATTTATTTTTCCCCCAAAGCCCCAGTAGATAGTTGTATGTCATAGTTGCACATCCTTCTAGTTGCTGTATGTGGGATGCAGCCTCAGCATGGCCGGAGAAGCGGTGCGTCAGTGCGCGCCCGGGATCCGAACCCGGGCCGCCAGTAGCAGAGCGCGCACACTTAACCGCTAAGCCACGGGGCCGGCCCTTAAAACTGATTTTAAAAGCAAAACTCATTTTGCAACTAGATGGTTTGTTATACTTTCTACTGCTTTAGCCTATCTTCTATTTAACAAAGACAAAAGGAAACTATGTATATAAAATATTATACAAAAAAGTTGTATTACCCTATGTTGTTTTCATGCTGCAGACCAGAAAACACTTCCTTATTTATTAACTTCTATTTGTGTGTTTTAAAACTGGCCAACTACACTTAACACAAACAAAAATGTTTCCATTTGGGGTAACAGCACTCAACTTTTCCTCTGAATGTTAGATATCAAAGAGATTTTTCAAGCCTAATGTCTCAAAGGAAACAAAAACAAGCAGCACCTTTGTTTCTTTTAAGAGGAAATTCACATAGTGATTATCATAATACCATTCTGGATGCCAAATCCTTGGGCAGGAAGCTAAAATAGCATTTATTTATTCAACAAATATTTACTGAGTGCCTATTATGTGCCTGGCACTGTGCAAGCTGCTAGGGATACAATGGTGAGCAAAACCAGGCACAGACTCCGTAGAAACGGAAATTGCTGGCAGCAGTCTGATTCTGGGTCTGCACCGCTCTCCTTTCACATGATCCTTGCCAACAAAAACCACCTCCGCCTATTCCTCACATTGTTCCAAAGTTTCAACAGCTTGTCGTTTTCTCAGAATCTTTCATTAGGAACCAATGCTGTTATTTTTATTTTCAGGGAAACTATTTTTGCATTACATCAATAGTTCCTCTGAAATTAAACATATAACCGTCTATAAATTATGGGTGTGGCTCATGAGAAGGACTCAAGGTGGAGGACTATTCACTATATTTAGATGAAGACAGGAGAGAATAAAAGAAAACAAATCAAACGTACTCTGTCAGCTCAACAGCATTAACAGTGCTGTAGACGGTGCAGACTAACCATCCACAGGGATTACAAAGATCCAATTTTAATACGTATGGTGTTCGTTATCTACTGAAATGTCTAAACATGAAATTCAGGCACAGTATACTTTATCTGCATGTGATTTCTGTATAGTTTACATAAACACACTGTTGACTTAAAATGTAAATTGGCCAGTTGTTTCACCAGCACAAGTTTATTCGGGAATAACCACGGGGAATAGGCAGAGGAATTGCAATTCTGGATATACAGGCTACAGAGGACCACATGCAAAACCAGAGAAACAAAAGAAGGGGCTTGCTCTTACAGAGGAAAAGGGAGAGTATGTAGGGGCTATAATAAACAAAGAGTCCACTGAAAGAAACTGGGAGTCCAAAACGTAAAGGTTTCTCATTGGTTGGGTTGCTACAGTCTCTCATTGGCTGGGCTATTGCCCAGGGGGGAGATATATCTTTCTTCTTTCTGCTGTGTAGTAAAGTAGTCAACACCTTCCTATGGGAGATGCAAGCCTACGTCTTTTCCTGTTTAGAGTAACTGACCACGTATGATAGGGCATAAGAGCTCCCCCTACAGGCCTTTCTGACTCCAATTTAGTTGAGGTTTCTTTTATTTATTTATTTATTTTTTTAAAGATTTTATTTATTTATTTATTTTCCTCCCAAAGCCCCAGTAGATAGTTGTACGTCATAGCTGCACATCCTTCTAGTTGCTGTATGTGGGACACTGCCTCAGTATGGCCGGAGAAGCAGTGCGGCGGTGCACGCCCGGGATCGGAACCCCGGGCCGCCAGCAGTGGAGCGCGCGCACTTAACCGCTAAGCCAGGGGGCCGGCCTGAGGTTTCTTTTATTAATTTCACTATACAAAGGCTGTGTCATTATTCTCAAGCTAGATAAAAGCTAAAGTCTTGGACAAATCACCCTAACTGGAAGGGCTTCAGTTTCTTGAAATACCGGACTAGATAATCCTTTCTAGCACTAACTTTCCTTTTTTTTTTTTTTTTTTTGTGAGCAAGATCAGCTCTGAGCTAACATCCATGCTAACTCTCCTCTTTTTGCTGAGGAAGACCGGCTCTGAGCTAACATCTATTGCCAATCCTCCTCCTTTTTTTCCCCAAAGCCCCAGTAGA